CTTCGGTGCAAACTCCGACAGCGCTCAGATGCAGCTGACAGTACTAGCAGTGCCGCCTAGCGTGAAATAGACCAAGCTGGTTCCCTAAACTGCCGCAAGAGGTCCCTCGTGTCGGCACGCAATTGCGTGTGACTGACTGAAATGAGTGGGTGAGTGAGAGGGCGAATGTGAATGATCCTAGTGAGAGAGAGAGAGAGAGTGAGCGAGAGAGAGAGAGAGAGAGAGAGAGAGAGAGAGAGAGAGAGAGAGAGAGAGAGAGAGAGAGAGAGAGAGAGAGAGAGAGAGAGAGAGAGAGAGAGAGAGAGAGCGAGAAGGTGAGTAAGCGAGAGAGTGAGTTAGCGAGAGAGAGAGAGAGAGAGAGAGAGAGAGAGAGAGAGAGAGAGAGAGAGAGAGAGAGAGAGAGAGAGAGAGAGAGAGAGAGAGAGAGAGAGAGAGAGAGAGAGAGAGAGAGAGAGAGAGAAAGAGGGAGGAGGATGTCGAAGCAAAACGTTTTAATTCAGTCTTTACAAAGATCGACCCCATAAATGAAAGGTTTTGGTACAAAGTAGATGCGTAGCACTCTACTGCCACCTAGCCAGTGTAGCCTACAACTACATCCACTAGGCGGCGCCAAAAGCGTCGATGAGTCGACGCTCGATGAGTCGATGAGTCGAGAATGGTCGCCGGTCAGGTGTGGAACAAGGTCATGTCCCCGCTAAGCTCATAATTACAAGCATTTAAGGATGCTTATCACCTAACCCTCCACGTTGGCTTAATTTACAAATCTTGTAATATGTAGATTCGATGAAATATCTTTTGTTTAAAGGACTCAGACCAACAACAAACCAAAGGTCTGAGTTTCAACTTCGTTTCAACAGCTAAACAAATGACTGAATCAAACAAAGATGGCTTTTGATCACAGGGCACCTTCTCAAATGATCTAAATAACATTTAGTGATCATTGCATTGGAATACGTTCAATTTGTCGAAACCTTTCAAGTAAGGCGTGATAACTCATTTAACCAGCAGGCAAAAGTGACCGTCGCGCTAATTCAACCCAGTTAGGCAAACGGCGAGGACAGTTGAACCTCACGAGTAGGTATGACCCGGTCCCTCGCCGCTGGATCGGAAAGAGCGCTGGTCACCGGCCCTCAGCTGCACCGCGAACAATGCACCGATATGGGCCTGCTGGGAGAACAAATTATCTGTTAAAGACAGCTGGACGAACCCTTCTTTCAACGATTGACCCATGCTGACTTTAGTAGAAAAGACGGACAAATTTGCGGGTGGTCAAAAGGGGGAGAAATAGACAGCAGTCGCATATCATCAAATTTTAGCAAATCTTGGTGAACAACTCTACGGTTTAATTCTGGGAGAAACTGGCTACCTTTGTCAGTTGAAACCAAACTCTACATCGTGAGGCATGCCACCAAATCAGATTAGCAGACAATTATAGGCTAAAAGGCAGGAATGGAGAATAACTTGTGTTATGATTGAGCGCACATCACTAAACTTAGAAATTGACAGAAAGAGGCCACGGCTGAGTCAGATGATACTAGATTATTGAGCCGCACTAGGGACTTATGAGGAAATTACACCCACCCCAGTCACATTTCTAGTGTCATTCCCTAACAAACATGTACAACAAAAGGTCAAAGATCATTGCCACCCCAAGCTAGGATGACATTCAATCTCATGTCATGCGCGGCGTGAAAAGCCACTGACAACTATACTTACAGAGTTTCGGAGGGATACGTTAAAATTAAGGAATGCAAAGATGATACCTACGAAGTTGTGGCAGATCACCTCATGGACCCAAATTACGGTTTGATACCAACATTTTGTTTTAAAGAATATATTTTTGCCTAAGTGTCAGTTAAGAAACAAGGTCGCATGACCCTTGAGTACTCACTGGCCAGTGGATTATGCCAGTTAATAAATTCAGATGATAAATCAGTAGCATGCATCAATTCGAGTCAGATTATTCCCAGTAACATCCAAGGTTATTTGACCCCTTTCTATTGACATGATCTGTTGAACATGGAATTTCAATGTCAATGATCATTGACCTCTCAAGTCACAACTGATCTCATATCTGGCCTTGGATGCTAGCACAACAGTTTCAGACCAGTGCAGTTTCACTTAACATCCTGGAATTGAAAATTTATAAGGCATCATTGAACATGACAAACTTTGTCAGGTGACGGAACAGATACAACGATGATTACACCAGTCTTTGCCGAGCCATCAATTTAGCTTGAATTAGTACCATTCTCCAATGGTTCGTTCCCCATTAGCTTATTGTAATTTACAGCCCCCCCCCCTGATTTGATATAACCATTTCTCATTGCTAATGTTCCCACTCAATAATTGGATATCACATTTGCCAAAATTTGTATACCTTCAACAACATAGCAATCGGTAAACCGAGCTTCTTTAAATTAGAACACCACAAGTCGATTGTCAATTGCAATTGAATTGCAAGTTAAATAAATCATCTGGTCGAGTATGTCAATAAAAACCTGCATTATAAAATTGACTCTCATAAATTGGTTCAGTAAGATAACGTGAAATCACATGACTTGGATTGTTTTTTTTTTTTTAATCGAAATGCCAAATTGAGACTAATCCGGCGCACTACCTTAGAATTCCCTTGATGCAAATACTTACGACCCCAGAGAAATTTGCGACAGCGCGGGGAGGGACGCCAGACAGCAATCCACAAATAAAATATTCATGATCACAAATGATTGGGCACTACCGAGAATTACTTCATTAAATCACAGGCCACACTCAGAATAATCAAGTTGAAATTCCGATCAAAGTTGGCGTGTCCAAGGTTAGACGATGAGAAGTCAGGATGCACCAAGGACCAACCCGCAGACGACACGATCTTATGACGTCATTACTGATCAACAAGCGTAAACACAGTCTGTTTCCTGGAATATGACGTCACTGAGTGAATATAGCAAGCTGCGGTGGAGACGTTTCGGCTGGTAGGCGTAAATATCGTGTAGATGAAAGGAGTAGTAGATGGTCTGAGTATTTGGCGGCGCAGATTTCTCTATCCAATGATTTTTTTTTTCATGTCGCGGGTAACAATTGACTCGTACCGCGCAGTGGTGCGCACATGGACTGAAGGGAATCTACGGATCAGACAGGTAAGGAGATACAGAAGGAGTGACTCTGAAGTGGTCGATAGATATTGAAACCGGAATTACACAAGGAGGAAAAGATCTAAGGATGGATGCTAGCCGAAGAGGAGGTATGTTGCAACACTTTCATGTGTTTTTGACTCTGTTGATACGTCTAAGTCTTCTAGGATTGGACTGTCTCACGTTACGGAGTAAGTAAGTAAATATGTTAGGCAGATATCAGAACAAAGAACGCCATAAGACGCCCAAGCTGAGAGGTGAGTCAGAGAGACAGGACGAGGGAGAACTCCGCCGAAGGTGAGTGACAAAATACGAAGGTGATAGATTGAGGCGAAGGGGTAATTCCGCCAGGATGAGGTGAGGTAAGTCCACCGTCGGAAAGGATCGCAGCATGTATCACTCATGACGCTAACGCGCTTGAACACACATCTGCAGGACAGGATTCCACGGCGTCGGATAAAATTGTAGGATAGATTCAGTCATGGAGTCTTCGAGTCACACCGGTCAATGATTCAAAGGCGCCACTTGCGGGTGCCATGACTGCATGAGAGTACGGAGTAGGTACCTGTCTATGAGCCCAGTGAGACTGCGGTCGCCGGGCAGCAGGATTGTGTCCACCGGTTCGTTAGGTGAAAACGCGTAAGACGGTCTCTCACAGAAGGGCTGCAAGGGTCAGTAACCAACGTCCGGCCGCGGGGTTTTAGTAGGGAAACAGAGATGTGCCGTGAGCGGCAGAGGTTGACGGACCAATCATAAGCCACTGAGGAACGCTAATAACTGACGCTACCCGCGTCGATCTTTAGACAAGTAATCGGGGTCAAATGATGTAGGTGTTCGAAGAGAGTGGGCCGGCAGAGATTGATTGAACCAATCACATCCATCGACGAACGCTAATAATGTAATCGCTACCTGCGTTGCACCTTTAGACAAGTAATCAGGGTCAGGTGATGTAGGTGTTCGAGGATATTGGGCCAGGGAGCCCAAGAGGTGCTAGGAAGAGCACACACGATTCCAATGCTGGAATGGGGCGCGATAAGTCGTTGGGAGGTAAGAGTAAGCTTAGATGAAATTTACACTAATCACGGAGTCTATTGAACAAATTGCGTTTATTGTCCCTGATATGTACCGCTGGAGGGAGTTAGAACAATTGCTGGGAGGGACTGAGAGGTCGACGCGGGATCAAATTTATTGTAGTGGGATGAGAGAGGTATGACAAAGAGCGTGAGTCTGAGGGAGATTGAGGTATGCGTCATATAGTGTAAGGACCAGCGGGAGATCTAATCTCAGCATTGAGGGCGACATTAAATGGGGATGTACTCGATTATCTTTGGGATGATAGGCATTAGAAAGGGAGAGAATGGTGGGTAGCTATCAGGTATCAGATGGTGGCTTCAGGTTATGTCCTCAAGGGAGGCATCAAAATTATATGCTTTGGGGAGACATCCGTGTCCTAAATTCCTTATGAGACAGATACCATCCTAGGCAGTGAAGACTATATGTTGACAAGCGACAAGCCAGCCTCATTATAAATATTGTTTGTGACGAGCCCCAGGCGCAAGGAACGGTGGCAGAAAGGAATCGGTCAGCTTGAAACCAACGGACCGATCAGCAATTGGAAATGGGTGTGTAAATTACGTTTGAACAGGAGAGAAATCAAACAGCAAGAAAATCAACTCATTAATCAACCATTTGAGGATCTACCAGCCGAAAACACTCACCTGAGGTCGTTCCAGAGCACGGCGCAGGTCGGCAACCATCTCGGACAGAAAACACCCCCGATGAACGAAATTTTATTAAACAATATTTTTTTTTGAAAACATACTCCCCACCGCTTCCGGACCCCAGGGGGGCATCATCACAAGTGTCCTGCACCTTCACTGTGAGGTGAGGAAGCCAGAGCGAGCAGAGTGATTGACATTTGTGCGACGGCTTTTAGACGATAGTTCGGGAATTTGTAGAGTATCATGAATGATTAACATCGCCCATGAAGAAATCGTGCATTACCATCAACCATGTGCATATGCAAACTTAGCATTTGACGACCGGTTGGATACGTTCCAATTCACTGGTTAATTTGAGATTGAAATTACCTAATAAATGTTTGGGTAGCTAACACCATGTTTTAACATACAGATCATGTTAAAGTAACAGGGACAGTCCTATTTACCCCAGTCGGCCGGGGGGGGGGGGGGCGGTAACCCCAAACGCCGCAGCCCTGGGGGATTTTCACCCTCTGTCTAGCACCGTTAATAAAACAGCTTCGGAAACAAAAGTGTACCAAACGAAAGATCTCCACGTGACGACTCTAAACCACTAACCATTTATGACCTTAGGTCAATTTTAAGGTAAGAGCTCAGAGTTAAAGGTAAAACCAGCATATGTGTAGTGGTCTCCAGCTACATATGTGCTCCAGCCGGCCGGGCCCGGGGAGTAATCCCAACCACCGCAGCCAGGGGAGGGGCGTTTTCGCCCCCCCCCCTGTCTAACTCCGTAAATAAGGGAGCTAAGGGAAAAAATTTGGTACCAACTTTACGAGACCATAGACCTCTGTTCACCGGGTCTATGACAGAGGTACAGATGTCTATGACGAGACCATTATAACGCACATTTTTTTTTACCTCAGGACAGGCTTCAAGGTTAGAGCCGCAGAGGTCAAGGTCAAAGGCAAAAACTGGCATACCTATGTGTAGTGATATCAAAGTAAGTGTTTCAAGGGACGGCAGGATGCATAAAACCGGCATAACCGGGAGCCAAACGAAAGAAAAGAAGCTGAGGATTCCGATTATGCGCCCAACATTCAAGATCAACGTCAAGGTCAGGCTCACAATTGACCTCCAACGTTGCCCTGTCTCGTAAATCTTGTATACCAGATTCCAAGAGAGTTTGAAATGTTTTTTTTAAGCTTACCAGGCCCCTATTTGTGGTTCATCTCGCGATACAAAGCTGCTCCAAGGTCAAGGTCACGGAAGAGCATCCCTGCTAGAAGCTATTTCACTGATTCAAGTCAGCCTAACCATCAAAATAATTTTGCCTTCATGAGGCTATAATTAAACGCTTAGAGCAAAATGAATGCCATATTCGTGATCAGCGGCTACGAATCTATCATATACGACCTTTCATGTGTCAAGGTCAACCAAAGGTCATTCGAGGTCACATTAGGTCAACATAAAACTGGACCTTTTCCAAACAAAATGTAATGTCATTCAACGCGGCTTGATAAGAAAAATGCGTTGGTACCATTGCGGTAGCTCTGAAACCATTTTTGTAGAAGTTATTTACGAAAAAACCAAAACCCCAGCTCGGGGTCGTTGGCCTGACCTCTGAACTCAGGTCACCAAAACTATTATCCTATTTTTCCCTAGGTCAAACACTACAAACCCGTGCTCGTAATTTGTCTTTATATCTAAAACTCTATTCTTGGCAGCTCTCTGAGGTTCACGTCTCTGGCGCCGAAGTTTGCTGTGCAAGGGTCTAGAAAAATCAACCCTGTGACATCATCAAGGGGGCTAGGTCATTTTTTTGCGCCAGAAGATTTCAAATTGATGGGGAAAAGGTACTGAAAGTTTTGTTTTCCTGTTTCTAAGCGTTCGGTAGCTATCGCCAATATTCGCCAGGGGGCGAAAACACCCCCCCCCCCCTTCGCCGGGCCCGCGAGGGCCAGAGAACAGTAGGGTGCATGCAATTGGGGCAAATCTGGCTGGAAACGAAAGAAGCAATTAGAGGAATCTGACGATGTGCTCATAGTTTTAGGTCAAGGTGAAGGTCATGCTCAACATTGAGCTCAATTTATACACTTTTACTTAAATATTAAAGTGACCCTCCCACCTTTAAAAAAGTTTATGAATTGGCTTGAAAGTGCAACAGTTTGGAAAAAAATCAACCCTACTGCGTCATCAAGGAGGTCCTGCTATCCTGTCGAACGCAAAGCTTGCTACCACTTACATGCACTTGCATGTTTGCACTTTAGTGGACGGTGTTCACATTTGCTGGTTTTGACCTTTGACCTAGCTTAATCCCTGCAGCCTTGTAAAGTAACCTCTAATATTATTCTTTTTTTCGAATTATCAACATGAAACCTTCTTTGGTAGCGGCTTTGTTTCCGTTAGATTTTTAGCACGGAGTTAGAAAGTGGAAGCGAAAAACGGCAACGGTGCACGGTGATGGGGCTTACTCCCGGGTCCGGCCGGATTAAGAGCTATTAATCACAGTCAGGCGAAGCGCAGTAGAAATCGAACAGTAGTCGACGTCACCTTCATCAATTTGTCAATGGCTGGGAAAGCTATCGCTGCACATCGGCTGTGTGCCATCTGGTCGACTTGCTCGCCGATTCCATTTCCCACTCACTGAGAGGAAACAGGGAGTGGGAAGAAACCGACGGAGGCGTGGCGAGGCTGGGCGCAGTGTGAACTGTGAACGCCTGTCAGCAGCGTGCACATGTCCCTTTCGGCCATTCACTGTCAAATCGAGTATTATCGAGCTCCAAACAGCCGCCTAAATGCTCTCTGAAAGATACAGCGGCCGTTCTGCTATGGAAGTGAGAGCTGGATTACCTAATTCTGGCTCTAACACCAGGCAGAGCAGCTGAAAAGGACTTAGGCGGTAAGACATCTGGGGCTGGTCGAACGATGCGAACCGTGACCAGATTTATGGAAGCATTTGGCTTTCGTTTCATTTGGCATTTGGCTTTCGTTTCTTTTGTCTGTAGCTTTCGCCTTCTTTGTCGGACCAGGGCTATCAGGGTTACCTTACGAACAACTAATACTCGTGTTTCTAGTAAGGTATGAAAGTAGCTATATACTTGGGGCCTGATCCCGTTTAACAGAAATGAGGTAGAAGCATTTTTAGTTGCGGTATCCCCAAAGATAAGCGGTGCACTTATAGAAGACTAGGAAAAGCCGTGAGTGGTCCACCTTCCATTTCAAAACAATGCTTATTGCCGAATCACATAAGCATACAAATTATTTGTTGAAGTGGATTCCCTTCATATACCGCCATATTGACGGCATGAATTCTAGCGCTCATAAATGCGTATTGCGTAATGATTTGTGAAAGAAGTCCCGGTTGTTGAGAACTCAGTATTCTCTTGCCGAGCTGGCTTCCCTAGACCAGCTCCATGTTGAAGATATTGTGGCTTTTAGTAAGGCTCATATTGCAGTAGAGGGGAGCTACTTTCTCGAAAACTAAGCAAACAGGTGCTATGAATATCATGGCCCGTATTTTCATATCAACACCAAGATTACCAGTTGGCAGTTACTACGGTGTTCCTGTCGTCTATGCCATCCTGCAGTGTCTATTTCGATGGTGCAATAACAATTCCTTATTCTACTCATATGTATCTTTCGTGTCAAGTGTCAAGTGTCGAAAAAAGCGCGGTGTAAAATTGCACTCAAATCGCCGTACGGAGGTTTCGAGCACTCCGTTCGCTTACACCAAACGCGATTTTCAGGTCGGATAAAGCTGCTCGCGGACGTGCTGTAATGCCAGCCACACGGACTTCACGTGTCTATTCATATTTCACCCAGGCAGCCCGGGGCCATTAGTCCAACGGCCGAGGTGGTGGTACGCCGCAGCTCGACCCCCCTGCCGGACAATGGCTCGCTCCGTCCGCGGCACACAGACTTCCTGCTGTCTTTGGCCGCTGGTTAGGCCGTCATTACACCGGCGCCGCAGTCTGCTCCAGCAATGAACCGTTTCCGTACAATAGGTGTAAGGCGACCATTATGACCGGACCGTGGGTGGCGATGACCCACAGAGCCGATCTGCAGCCCTGCTGGGTAGGTTTTCTACCTAAATTATGGCGGCGGACAAAGGACGCCGTCATTCGTCCTAGAAACTACAACGGCACCTGACATAAGCTTGCAAAATAACGGGGTGACTGACGCAATAGCTGGCACCGATAGATAACCCGCGCCCCACTGGGGTCTGTGTATAACACGCCCTACTGGGGGGGGGGGGGGGCTATTCATAGCCCCCCCCTCCTAACTCCAAAACTACTGGGCCGATCGTCAAAATTCAAACGGTGTCTGATAGCCCCGGAAAAACTGTCGAGCGAAACCTAATTTCATTGACCTCGAGGTCACCGATGACGTCACAGGTCAGGTCAAAGTAAAAATTATTAGCATTTTGGCTTGTTCACATTTTGGGCTCTGGCCGCCGTCTTACAAGTCAGATCAGGCTCATTTTTGGTTTCCACACTCGTGAACAGATGCTCTAGATACCTTGAGGGTACCAAACTTGTACTTTGATTTTCAGGTCAGGGTCAGGTCATCACAGGTCACGAAAATATTATATCATGCGTCGGTCACGTGACACATGTTTTATGGTCCATTTAGGCCATAGATTTCAAATTTGATGTCGTCTGTGTCATTCGAGGTCATTTTGAGTCGAATTTAGCTTAGGTCAGGTCACTTTCAGGTCAAAAAAGGTCAAATTTTGAAGTTAAAATTTTTCAACAAAAAAGGTGTCTATTGGATGCAGTTTGAGCTCAGGAGCACGATGGTGCCATTTATATTGGTGTACGATGTCAAATACGCGCTGAAAAATTGATTTGAAAAATTAATAATTGTTAATTTTTTGCAATAATGCGTATAACTTGGCTATTTTTGAAGATATTTAGCTAAAACTTGCTAGAGTTAGTCATAATCATGCGTTCTGTCACATATATTCCGGTTTTTTCGAAAAGTCAAAAACGTTTTGAAAAAAAATATAAAAATATAAATTTTGAATATTATTATATAGAATTTTCGAAATTTTCAAAATTTTGAAAATCCGAGATAACAGTTTGATAGCGCGGTCAATTTTGAGTCCTTTCATGCAAAGAAATTGGATCTAGCTTAAAAACTGAGCTCTTGGGAGCGATTGCCGTGGTTCAATGTTTTGCGTCGAAATCGGACGAACATGACGTCACTCTTACGTCATTTCCGGCCGACCTATGGTAGCTACGAAGTTCAAATTTTGACACAAGGTGTCAAATTGATGCAGCCGAAGGTGCTGAAAGTTTGGCGTCGATCCGTCAAGCGGTTTGGAAGTTATTGCAGAAAAACGGGAGGGGGGCTATAAATAGCCCCCCCTCCCAGTGGGGCGCGGGATAATAATAACACCTGCACCTGCAAATCACAAATATCAGGGTTCGATGGTAAAGTCGTCAGTGACAAGCTAAACCCAGCGGTGGGTCTCCCTGCCACTTTCCGCGCGGGGGGGACATTCCTCCCCCCGTATCTCCGAAACTACTCGACGGATCCGTAAAATCTCAACGGCGTTCGATAGCGCTGTCAAATTTGTTTAGGGAGCTCCAACTTTATTTGACCACGGGGTCATTGATGACGTCACAGGTCAGGTCAAAGATAAAATGTTTCGCCGGTCACGGGTCTTTTAGGGAATGCGCTATAGCATCGAGTAAAATGCATTTTGTCGAAAATCAGCGATAGGGCCTAAGTTGCCTATGTGCTTACATATGGTGCTATTGGAGGTCACTGATAATACCAGGTCAGGTCATAGGTCAGGTCAACAAGGGTCAGCACATGAACCCAACTTCACTAGGGTTGTGCGAAGCATGTTTTATGACCAATTTTTCATTTCCAGCTCAATGGTGCTGGTTATAAAACCATCAGGTACAGTTTAATTCACTTTCTGGTAGACAGGTCAATGTCAGGTTAAAAAAGGTCCGATTTCAAAGTTGATATTTTGCTTAAAGTGGGTATTGATTCGATGCACCTCGTCACGGCAAGTCTAATGGCGTTCTTTTTTGCGCTACGTAGTCTAAACTTGCTAAAAATTGAGTTTGAAAATTTGACGTCATCAATTTTGAATAGTTTTTTTCCGCTATAACTTGGCCAAAAAAGAGGTATCGATCTCAAATTTAGTATATGGATAGGTGGTAGGAACTATCACGTATATTTCATTTTTTCGAAATTCATTTTTTTGCTATTAAATTAAAAAGAAAATACTTTTTTATTTTTGGGGGTCAAAATCCAAAATTTCAAAAAACCGAGATGGCATTGTTATAGCCCTGTAAATTCTACACCGTTCATGCTTGAAACATTTTTTATGTATCTCTAAAGCTGTAAGCCTGACAGCTCCTCCCGCAAAACTTATTTTGGATCGAAAATGGCAGAAGATGACGTCACTCCGACGTCATTAGCGGCCAAGCTACAGCTATCATAGTCTTTGGAAAAAAATTGGTCACAATGTGTAAAACCTTTTCCCGGGAGGGTACTGCAAGATTGGTGACGATCGGCGCAGCGGTTCTGGAGATATATCGAAAAAAAAACTAAGTGGGAAAATGCCCCCACCCCCGCCTGGAAGGTTAAACGGAACAATACCCCTGTCCCAACTGAGTGACATAAACTATGACGGAAAACAAATCCATATAACCTTACGACTCAACAGAAGTAATAATTCACTTATTTATTCTTCTTTTCAGATGCACTCCGGCATCTGCCGAGACCAGCGTTCCCGACCTCCAGTGCTCACTTCTCAGGGTGATTCGGCAGCCGAGTACATTGTAAAGGTCAGCGTCGTGCCGGTCATGCTCGCTCTCATCAGCGGCTACCGGCAGCGGAACCGGCGGATCCCGGCGCGTTCTGTGCTGCTCCTGTCTCTCGGCTCCGTCCTCTTCAGCTGCGTGTGCATCTCAGCGGCGGGGTCTGTCGTCCAACGGCAGCGCCCCTCTCCACCAGCCGCCGGCGCCGGTACCGGTCTTCCCGCAGTGGTGCACAACGAGAGGGGCAAGATCGAGCGTCGTTGCGAAGGTGACGCTCGCTCCCGCCGCTCTGCATCAGGCACTCAGTCTGGGGGAAATACCCCGCCGCCGTGGAAAAACGTCACCGGGAGGGTGCTGACGCCCACCCCGGCTGCCGTTCGAGTGGGCCGAGCGTTCTGGATGACCGCGCAGCCAATCCGTCGATCTGACGAGGCCGTGAGATCGCCGACGGAGAGCTCGCTGCTGAAACTCGGAGCACAGCAGACGGAGCGGGTGCCGGCTGACAGGGAGGTGGTGTCCACCAGTCGCCTGCTGCACGAGCTGAGCTCGGACAGCTCGGCTGCGGCGCTGTCCCGGTACGGTGATCGGCCCTGGAGTGACGCCGACCTGAGCTCCCTGCTGATCCAGCTCCAGGAGCTGGGTGGCGAGGCTGAGCTGCCGCAGCTCCGGCTCGGCTCGGTGGGCGAGTTTCGCCGCGAGCTGCGCCGCTGCAGTGCGGTTGTCACCGTCCTGGAGAAGGACCAGCTCGGCGCTAGCAGCTCGAGTCTCCAGAAGTTGTACCAGCTGCCGGCAGCCGAGGGCTGTCTGCAGCTGCTGCTGCGACTCCAGCTGCTGCCGGTGACCCGACCCAGAGCACGCGAGGCTGCGGGCACCCTGCTCGGTGAGCCCAAACGGCTGAATCTGATCTGAACGAGACGGTGCACCTGACCATTCAGTGTAGCACCGCCGCACTTGACATCTGTACATATCTTCTCATTAGAATGCTCGGGTAGATAATGGATCAGTTAGGACAGAAAGAGGTCGTCCTTGCGTGGGAATGGTTGGATGTAGAGCTCACGCAGCCTAGATGCAGCAGATGTGCTCGGATGCGCAGTTGAACGAGTTTATAGCATTGTGATGCTTATTACGAGGTGTGGCTAAAAAGAAACCGGACTGTTCGTGCTGACCATAAAGTAGGGGGCCCGAAAACTAGCGAGACACTGGACATTAATCTTTATCATATTGTCGTGATGTGTGCCATACGGCACCTCGATATCGCTATTATTCTCCTTTCCACAGCTCCTTGTTTTATTGATGACGCTGACGCTGGTCACTCCGGTCTGGATGTCCTCGACTGATTGAAAATGGGTTTCCTTGACGACGTTTTTCATTTCAGGGAACAGCCAAAAGTCACAGGGAGCCCGAGGTTTGGCAAATAAGGGGGTGCTTGAGCACCGCGACCTGCTTTTCGGCAACGAACTGCTGGACGCTAATGGCAGAATGCGCGGGAGCATTGTCGTGATGGAGCACCCAGTTCTTGGCTTCCCAGAAACTCCACTTGGTGCGCGTGACTCGTGAAATGAGGCGTCCCAGGTCTTCCTTGTAGAAGTGGCTGGTCGACTGTGGTACACCTCCAGCACGAACTGGCGGTGAACGAATCCCCGATGATCGAAAAAGACGATCAATGTCATCTCCACTCTCGACTTCGACATGCGCGCGGACGTTGATGGACCTCCAGACCTTGGGGTCATCACCGACATCCTCACGACCAGTGCTGAACCTCGTATGCCATTCAAACACTTGCATGTAACACATGACTTGCTCCCCATTAACAGCCTTGAACAGATTCAGCGTCTCTGTTGGACTTTTCTCCAGTCTGGCAAGGAACGTGATGTTCCCTCTTTTTTCGAAATTCATTGTAGAAGCCTGGCGATGACAAGGCCGCCGAACATCGATAGAACAAAGACCTGTAGAAAAGAGAATTATTGCGACATCGAGATGCCGTTTGGCACACATCACGACAATATGCTGAAGATTAATGCCAAGTGTCTCGCTAGTCTTCGGGTCCCCTAGTTTATGGGCAGCACGAGCAGTCCGGTTTCTTTTTAGCCACACCTCGTATTGTGTGTTGTTGTTATTGTATACGTAAATTTATGACTTACGACGAAACTTGTTAAATGTTACGCATGAATTATGCAATAAACGTCATATATTTTACTTCTGTGCTTAACGAATTCATTCCTACCTAAGCAATATTATTTGATTTGTTAAATCGCAAATGCCTACATGTATTTTAAACATTTACAAGTTTGCTTTCTCAAGCCGCAGGGCCGAATAACTGAGAATTAATTGAAGCATAACAATGAACTATGTCCTATGATAAGGGAAGAAACTGCGTATTTTACGCCACCAAGCGACTTTGGCTGTTGTCTAAGATGCAGTTCGGCGATGGCTCTTCCACGCAGTATTTTGGGATCTTCTTTGTGTCTCACTGTCTACTTACTCGAAAAATATGACAAGGAAAAACATAAGCCGTTTTCACGACGGGCTATCCGGCGAATGCACCTAATTTGACCAAATCTGTGCCTAATCTCTTTTACAGCAAATATCTTCATTTTATGAATTTATTTCAGTGTTTTAATCGATGATACTCTCTGATAATATGATAAAGCAGGCATATACCTAAGCAATTAGTGCAACCCTAGCTTATAGCTACTAAGAGATACACTGAACCTAATTTGACCAAATCTGCACATAATCTGCACCAAATGTGCACCAAATGTGTACCAGATGGCCGTCGTGAAAACGGCTATCATGTTATGCTGGAAAGGTGACACTATGTACAGTCCACAGCAGAAGTAATGTGGGGTTTCAGTCATGGGTATGTTCTGCTTCTGAAGCTTAGGAACGATTAGCCAGACTACAATGAAACTTTGAATGTAGCTTATATGTATCGTCACCCTTGCAGCTGCAACTTTAGCTATTGACATCTTCTTTCCGATCACTCCGCATTAAACAATCGCCAGTCAAAGCCAACCGTTGAGATTGGTTACTACATTACTTTACTTTACCCATACATTATTTTAGCGGTGGGCTGTACCTACATTGTCGAGTCGATGAATGCGTCTTCGTCAAACAAACCTACCCCATCCACTCGGCCGCGCGTTTGGGTTTCGGCAGGTAGTTATGGTGTCATGTCCTTCCGCATAAATGGAACATGGAACCCGTGACAGTGTCGCCAGGGGCCGGCGTCAAATGCAAAAGCAGCACTTTACAAATGTCCAATGGAGGCAATGGATACATGGTCCACTCACCACGTAATATGCCGTCCAAAATGATCCGTCCAATTGTCTAGCGGCGGCACCTGTCTGGTCGAGGGGCTGCATCTACCCGATTTACATAAGGGCGGCACATTGCAGGACGAGCGGCGGGCCCATATGCCTGGCCTTAGGGCGGCACCTATTCTGGCCGAAGAGAGCACCTATCAAGGCAAAGGGCGGTATGTAGGAGTGGCACATACTTGGTCGAAGGGCGGCACATCTCTGGCCGGGGGCGGCATCTATTAGGGCGAGGAGCGAACTTTACCGAATGGAGCGCGACACCTATCTGACAGAGGGGCGGCACGAACCGAATCTAGCGGGGGAACCTATTTGCTCAAAGGGCGGCGCCTACCTAAGAGACAGAGCCTAATCTGAGGTTCACACTAGGTATGTACAAATTGTACATACCTACCTGAGAAGCAGAGCACACTGAGGGGTGGTTCCTAAATGAATGGCGCTACATTTAGGGCCTTGGGCGCTACAAGATAAGGGGATGAGGAACTGAAGAAGTTGGGGCTGCATGAGCCGGCATTGGTGTTGCACTTTTCGAAGCACGAGTGGTGGAGTTCCACGTGCACACCCTCCACCCCAATATAAAAATATGCAACCTCCACCCCTGTAATGAGTCGACAGTCGTATGGAGGATTGGAGATGGCCCCTATCGTTCTTCTAGTCTAACATCTCGGTAACATGCTCGACCGATCATCAAGCGGTATGCTGCATCAGATAGCCCCATTCCAGAATTATTTCATTTACAATCCCTCCGAAATGACTGAGCAAATGCGCTCAAACTTGGCCTTTTGAATGAGCATGTCCACTATAGAGATGCAATGCCCGCCGTTGAAGTAGAACTCAACGCTTGCTTTTTATATCTCAACTAGAGGGACAGCATTACGCGCAGCGTAATGAATCAATTTTCATTAAAATCGGCCCAGTAGCGGCCGAGTTATGGCCAGAATAAATTTGGCGTCTCCTCCTGGCCGGCGGTGCCCTGTTCCGGTATTCATTGCCAAAGGTCAGTGACCTCCCGGCTCTGATTTCGCTCAGTTTCGCAGCGAACAATCTGAGCCTAAGGCGCGTGCCGTCTGCTCGAAGCCGGCCGCGGCCAAAATATCGCAAAGATGCGCCCGCCACGTGCACACCGCTGCACGCACCCCCTCGAAAAGTTGATACGACAAACAGATGAGCGCGTCCGACTTGCGTCGAAAATTTCACCCCCGTAGCCCGCACCGTTCCGGAGCAATAGCCCGCCAAGCGTGACTGACGCGTTACATACATACGGACATTTTGATTTTTATATATGTAACTAGAGGGACAGCATTACGCGCAGCGTAATAAATCAATTTTCATTAAAATCGGCCCAGTAGCGGCCGAATTATGGCCAGAATAAATTTGGCGTCTCCTCCTGGCCGGCGGTGCCCTGTTCCGGTATTCATTGCCAAAGGTCAGTGACCTTCCGGCTTTAATTTCACTCATTTTGCAGCGAAGAAACTGAGCCTACGGCGCGTGCTCTCTGCTCGGCGCCGGCCACGGCCCAAAATCCCGCAAAGATGCGCCCGCCACGTGCAAACCACGGAGCGCACCTCTTCCAAAATTTAATACAACAAACAGATGCACGCGTCTGACTTGCGTCGAAAATTTCACCCCCGTAGCCCGCACCGTTCCGGAGCAATAGCCCGCCAAGCGTGACTGACGCGTTACATACATACATACATACGTACGGACATTTTGATTTTTATATATGTAACTAGAGGGACAGCATTACGCGCAGCGTAATAAATCAATTTTCATTAAAATCGGCCCAGTAGCGGCCGAGTTATGGCCAGAATAAATTTGGCGACTCCTCTTGGCCGGCGGTGCCCTGTTCCGGTATTCATTGCCAAAGGTCAGTGACCTTCCGGCTCTGATTTCACCCAATTTTGCAAGCGAAGAAACTGAGCCTAAGGCGCGTGCCGTCTGCTCGGCGCCGGCCGCGGTCCAAAATCCTGCAAAGATGCGCCCGCCACGTGCACACCGCTGCACGCACCCCCTCCAAAATTTAATACAACAAACAGATGCACGCGTCTGACTTGCGCCCAAAATTTCACCCCCGTAGCCCGCACCGTTCCACAGCAATAGCCCGCCAAGCGTGACGGACGCGTCACATACATACATACGGACATTTTGATTTTTATATATGTAACTAGAGGGACAGCATTACGCGCAGCGTAATAAATCAATTTTCATTAAAATCGGCCCAGTAGCGGCCGAGTTATTACCAGAATAAATTTGGCGTCTCCTCCTGGCCGGCGGTGCTCTGTTCCGGTATTCATTGCCAAAGGTCAGTGACCTTCCGGCTCTGATTTCGCTCAGTTTGGCAAGCGAAGAAACTGAGGCTAATGCGCATGCTCTCTGATCGGCGCCGGCCGCGGCCCAAAATCCCGCAAAGATGCGCCCGCCACGTGCAAACCACCGAACCCACCCCCACCAAAATTTAATACGACAAACAGATGCACGCGTCCGACTTCTGTCCAAAATTTCACCCCCGTAGCCCGCACCGTTCCACAGTAATAGCCCGCCAAGCGTGACTGACGCGTTACATACATACATACATACATACATACGTACAGACGTTTTGATTTTTATATATGTAAACTAGATGGACAGCATTACGCGCAGCGTAATAAATCAATTTTCATTAAAATCGACCCAGTAGCGGCCGAGTTATGGCCAGAATAAATTTGGCGTCTCCTCCTGGCCGGTGGTGCTCTGTTCCGGTATTCATTGCCAAAGGTCAGTGACCTGCCGGCTCTGGTTTCGCTCAGTTTTGCAAGCGAAGAAACTGAGGATAATGCGCGTGCTCTCTGATCGGCGACCGCCGCGGCCCAAAATCCCGCAAAGATGCGCCCGCCACGTGCACACCGCTACACGCACCCCCTCCAAAATTTAATACGACAAACAGATGCACGCGTCCGACTTGCGCCCAAAATTCCACCCCCGTAGCTCGCACAGTTCCACAACAATAACCCGCCAAGCGTGACTGACGCGTTTCATACAGACATTTTGATTTTTATATATGTAAACTAGAGGGACAGCATTACGCGCAGCGTAATAAATCAATTTTCATTAAAATCGACCCAGTAGCGGCCGAGTTATGGCCAGAATAAATTTGGCGTCTCCTCCTGGCCGGCGGTGCTCTGTTCCGGTATTCATTGCCAAAGGTCAGTGACCTTCCGGCTCTGATTTCGCTCAGTTTCGCAGCGAAGAAACTGAGGCTAATGCGCGTGCTCTCTGATCGGCGACGGCCGCGGCCCAAAATCCCGCAAAGATGCGCCCGCCACGTGCAAACCGGCGAGCGCACCCCCACCAAAATTTAATACAACAAACAGATGCACGCGTCCGACTTGCGCCCAAAATTCCACCCCCGTAGCCCGCACCGTTCCGGAGCAATAGCCCGCCAAGCGTGACTGACGCGTTACATACATACATACATACGTACAGACATTTTGATTTTTATATATGTAACTAGAGGGACAGCATTACGCGCAGCGTAATAAATCAAGTTTCAATAAAATCGGCCCAGTAGCGGCCGAGTTATTGCCAGAATAAATTTGGCGTCTCCTTCTGGCCGGCGGTGCTCTGTTCCGATATTCATTGCCAAAGGTCAGTGACCTTCCGGCTCTGATTTCACTCAGTTTTGCAGCGAAGAAACTGAGCCTACGGCACGTGCCGTCTGCTCGGCGCCGGCCGCGGCCAAAATTCCGCAAAGATGCGCCCGCCACGTGCAAACCGCCGAGCGCACCCCCTCGAAAAGTTGATACGACAAACAGATGCACGCGTCCGACTCGGCACCAAAGTTTCACCCCCGTAGCCCGCACCGTTCCACAGCAATAGCCCGCCAAGCGTGACGGACGCGTCACATACATACGGACGTTTTGATTTTTATATATGTGAATAACGGCTGGGTCGGTTGCGCTAAAACCTATAGGGCTAAACCAAGGCCGGCTAAACATCTACGAATTTTGAAATAAAATAAATTTAAGTAAAAATAAAAACACCGTTGACCTTTTGCCTATGGATCCGCCACCCACATTTGATAACAGGGTTCCACAGTTCTCACTTTCCTCACTTTCCACGCAGCAGCGGCCGTTCTGCGCCGTGTTACCTGTCCTGTCGGGCGACCCAGTAATTTCTACCGCTCCAGTGACTGCCTGCCGACTCAGTGTCAATTACCGTTTTCACGGTTCGTGACTACCATGCTTTCTTTTTAACGATGCTGTATGGGTCGATGTCCATGTCACTATTGGGGCGTAACGAATTACGATGACACTGCACACATGGCTGACGATTGAGAAGAGTCACTGACATGGTTCTGAGTGAGATCGATGCCGCTCTGACAGTCTGTCAGTTCCCTAAAATCTAGACATTTAACCCTATTCCTGGCGGGCTCCGCCGGGACAAGAAACTGGCGGGGGGGGGGCCGATTCGGCCCCCCCCTGAGATCTCGAGAACGAAGCAAGATAGCGACAAGCGGTAAACGGCATCGGATACGCACGGCCAAGATCTACAATTTTTACTAAGGTCATTTTCAGGTCAGGTCAAAGATGACGTCACAGGGGTCGAAAAAGTCAAAATGGCGGCGCTAGATATGGAGAGAGTTTTTCTCGAATAACTTTCAAATTAGTCAAGATAGGAACAAACTAAGGGCATCATCGTGATCCTCTCGTCAATCCGCATCGAATGATATATATGTTGACCTCGAAAGGTCAAGGTCAAAGGTTGACCTCAGGTCACGTGACCTCGAGGTCATCATGTATATCATTCGATGCGTCTTGACGAGCTGAACACAATGAGACCATCCACGCGTCTGTATCTTGTTCCTGTACGGAGTTATTGGCCAAAAACCTTTGGTGACCTTTGATGACGTCACATGACCTCACAGCTGCCCAACAGCAAAACAGACCTCAAGGTAGTGAAGGTTGATCGTATATGAAGTCATGTATGGTATATGGGGCCATTCCGACCCGTTTTAGTGGTAAAAACAGGGAGTTGATTTTTCCCCCATTGACTTATAATGGGGAGGTCGCGAAATTGACCTGACCTTAGGTCACCGATATCAAAATTCCGAGATATACAAATTGCACATACTGGTACCCTAACTAAACCCTGAAGAGAAGAAATTGATCGGTCAAAAACTCTAGCTCTGGCGTGATTGCAAACTTTTCTGAGGTAGGGTCACCAAACCGCCTCTGGTGACCTGACCCGAGGTCAGATCAACTCAAAATTTTCAGACATGTTGCGTAGAAGCCTTTTAGGAAAAGTCAGAAAATTTGAGCTTCCTAGCTCAACGCGTTTGGGAGAAATAACCAAAAAACCTCAGGGGGGGGGGGGCTCCTGAGGCCCCCCCCCCCGCCAGGAATAGGGTTAAATGCTAAAACTTCAGCGCGGGAGTAAACCCTTTTGTCCTTGTCCGTACTCCGTATTGCATCTGGTGATGGACATGTGGATGCCTGTTGATGACGAGTTTCTACTGAGAAAAATATCAGACTAGCATGAATGGACAATGAAGACAATTCACATGGGAGGTAAGTGCATGCTTACCACTGCCGCATGTACTTACTTACTTATCCCGGCAGTTGCTGGGGTATTTCGCCACCCACCGTTTGCTGGAGGGGGGGGGGGGCGTTAAACGCCCCCAGCCGATAACTCGAGAACCAATAAGCGCAGCGAAACGCACGAGGCGGCAAACGAAAGAACGCGACGAGACGCCTCAGATGAGTACTTAAAAGTTGAATTTTGAGGTCACAGGTCGGGTCAAGGTCAGGTCAAACACCTGAAATCGGGCTTTCAGTAGCATGGACTTCAGGACTTCGCAATGGGTGCCTCTCGTCATAAACTCTGTCAAAACGGTGCACAATCCATCATAAAAGGCCTACAAGAGTGTCAGCTCCATGTAGGGGTCAGTCAAGCATAGGTCAGGGTCAAGGTCAGGTCAACCGGGTAGGCACATATCCCCGAAAATCAAAACTAATATTCGCAGCCTGTGACACATGTTTTATAGGCAATTTGGGGCGTAGAACACGATGGTGACATTCATGTTATCATATGTGTACGTGTTTGGCTCAACAAGTTCAATTTAAGAAATGCATGTATCATGGTCGTGAAGTAGTCACGAGAAATTGCCAAGATTCAGTTCAAGATTATGGAAAATGCGGAACGATAATCAATAATCAAAGATAGCCATGTGATTGATCATGGTATTGGCAGTCTAATGGCGTTTACGGCATGTCTGTATCTCTATTCTGTGATTTTATATGATTTTTTGAACATATGCCGTTTTTGGTCGAAAACTCAGAAATCATGACGTCACTAAAACCTCGATATCTCAAAAATTTTCCGACCGATTTTTTTGAAACTTTGTCACAATAAACTTCAATCAATTCCCTACAGGTACCCGAAATTTGGCGCGCTTATGCTATGGCCCGGCGAAAAAAGTGGGGGCGTTTAACGCCCCCCCCCCAGCAACTCGCGGGTTATAGTGTCCATCACGGCGTCATAAGTACTGGCCGATCAATGTTTTTCAATAAACTGAACTCGTTTTATCGAGAGGGCAAATACAATAAGCGCCACCAGCGATCCGTTTAGTATGCCCCTATGTATAGCATCCACTCCACGCCCTTCTTACATATCATTAGCACAATAGTAGCTCGCCATGTTTCTTTGTAAGTACGTCGTAGGACTCTTTTGACGCTAAAAAGTGCTGCGAATAGAAGCCGTTAGTACTCCAAATGCTACACTTTTTACAGTGTTACAGCGAGGACGATATGATCCTCGTCGTCTGCGGGTCATCATTTTGGTACTTCCGTTGTAGGTAAACCGTAAATGTCAGGATAATAGTTATTCACCTGTCTTGCTCGAAGATATACGGGTGTGATAAATATTTCTTTAATACTCTGTATTGTACACATAATGGTAGCAATCATACGTTCAGAGAACCAGCAGAAACGAAAGCACCAAGTCATAAATAAACATTCTGAGCCAGTCACCCTGCACACTTTTGACTTTACTATAGAGTACATCGTCCATTCGACATCATATCTACAGAAATTCACGTCATGTTCCTACTCACTCAATAATAAATATAAATGACGCAAGCTTCGCTGTCATATGGCAGCTGACCCACTACCCGAGTTCTTCGTTCAGTCATAAATAACGAATCATCAATGATGAAACGATGGATACCTTAGCTCAGCACCGTGATTAGAAAAAATAATACCTACATTTTATCGCTCTGATCACGCCAACCATGAAGTAGGCATACCCGGGAAGACAATCAAGCGAAGCTTTTGAGCATTTCGTTTTAGCGAGTTGTGTTGGATTCAAGCCAACGTTGTACTATGATTGGACAAGTCTCTAGGGAGCGAAGAACCCCGTATGCTCTAACAGCGGCAGCGGGGGGTCGGATAATTCTCAGCGGGACCGCCAGCCGCCCTCCGATTCCACTGACTGATCATATAGTCAGCGCAGTCTCGCCTCCCGCGCCGGCCTAATTCTGTGAGATCCGGGCGCCGAACGGCACCGCGCTGCTGGCCGCTCCGTGCGAGTCCTCCGCTGGATGGTCGCCGTCCCGACCGCCCGCGTACGTCACCTTCCCGGCACCCTCGCCGTCGTCGGCCAGGTCCTCCTTGGCTAGGTACGAGTCGACCGCCTTCTTGTAGGACACCCACGGCGCCGCCAGCAGCTTCTGCAGGCCAGGTGTGCCCGGCACCAGGTACCTGTCGTCGTCAGACCCGATGAGCACGGCACTGGGGCCGTAGCGTGCCGGCGCCGGCTGCTTCTTCTTCCGGCTGCCGCCGCTGCGGCTGCCCACCGCCCGCTCGTAGTCAGACCGGAACAGCGGCTTGTCGTACACGTCCGACGGCACGCGCGCGAACTTGAGCTTCTTGTTTCCGTACACAGATGGCTCTGTGGTGGTGGTGGTGGTGGTTGGTTCGGATGTCGGGGAGTACTCGATCGCTGCCTGGGTCGGTGCGGGACGGTAGCTCGTTTTGGGACGGTAGCTCACTTTCGGTGGGCTGGGAGCCGGACGGTACGTCGTTTTCGGTGGGCTCGGAGCTGGGCCATAGCTCGTTTTGGGGGCGCTGGGAGTGGGACGGTAGCTCACTCTGGGCGGGCTGGTAGCGGGACGGTAGGTTGGTTTCGGGGTGGTGGTGGTCGGGCGGTAGCTCTCTTTGGGCGGGCTGGGAGCCGGGCGGTACGACGTCCTCGGCGGGCTCGGCGCGGGGCGGTAGCTGACTTTGGGCGGGCTCGGCGCAGGTCTGTAGGTCGCCGCAGGCTCGGCCGGCTCGTACGCCGGTCTGGCGGGCTCCGGGTAGCTCGGTGTGTAGCTCTGGGCGGGAGCGGCGTACCCGCTGCCCCCCGCCGATGAGTCGTACTCGGCCGGGTGCTGCGCCTCCCCGTCGAACTCGACGTCGGCGATGAAGCCAGAGTCGCCGTCGACGGTGTAGACGACCCGCTGGAGCCGGGTGTCGGGCAGACGCACCTCGTACGAGCCGGCCGTGCTGGGGCCGTCGCGCTCCTCGCGCTGGCCGTAGTCGTTCACAGAGGCGGCGTCCTTCACCGAGTACTCGAACTCGTACTTCGGAGGGTCGAACGGCTGGCGACAGAACGGACGGCGACTCGTCAATGAAGACATATTAAACTACATTGGCTTGGCATATTGCGTGTGTAATCAACTGCACAAAAGTATGCATATACATAATGCTTTGCATCATTTAGTGTTACTGACGCGCATTATGCACGCATTATTATACACAACTCCTAGCTATCATGACGTCTAATTATAAATGGTGTTCATGTAAAACGACTTACATAAACATTTAGAATCCGCATTTCGGTATGCAAATGAACAAGACTGCTGCCCCTCGGCCTAGCATTCAGCTAGAACGAACCGTTTGATATGTAAAGTAAGTTTTTGCCTCTCTCGTGGCTACCGATGACTTATTTTAGCGTGGGAGACAAATAAACGAAACTTTAAGCCGCTAATGGAGGCCGCGCCTCCTCCCAACCGTTTACCAAGACTATCGCGATGATTGGTTGTGCCCACCGAGGTCGATTTACGCATTATCGTGTGGTAATGACCTCCGCGGGCGTCTCCGGCGCGGGCAGTCCTCGCTCGGTATGTATGTGAGCCGTGTGTCGCAATGCTGGCCCAGTTCCCCAGCGTCCTCTGATCAGGCCACCTGTCGATACCTGGCCGCTGCACGCGCCGCCAGTGGGCGGCTCCGGGCTCCGACTTCCGAGTGATAGCTCATGGACAGATTATAACGGGGCCGGAGCAGCGAGGTGCGGCGCGACAGGGGCCGGAATCGGATTATCGGGGCGGCTGGGTGCCCCGGGGCAAGGGACCCGCTGGCGAGACCAGGGTCAATGTCAGCTGTCTGTGTCAGTATCAGATGCATGTGTCAGAATCCTGGGGCTAAGCCCTTATCGTGGATTCAGTGACAGATGTGAGATATCAGGATTCAGAGAAAGAGAGAAAAGCGTCACCGACTCCCGTTTCGCCGGCTGACAGTGGCTGTTCTGTTTCCGTCAGCTATTGTCCGGCGCCGGCTCGGTTTCCGCCCCCATTCGTCCCCACGGCCCCGCCTGGTTCCTGTCCTAGTTGTCCTGCTGTGACCCCGACCCAGAACTGAGACAGTCACCCGCGGCGGCGGCGGTCAGTTACAGCCCACAAAGTCCTGGCGCTGATCCAGAGATGCTCAGCCTCTCCCACGAGATATGGCCGTCGTATAGGAAGGATAGCTCATAGCTGATAGCTCATACTGCATGCACACCTCGTCAGGTTATAATTTCCTGCCCGTGGGTCGCCGCAGGCCCCCGCCGACTGTTGACCATCGGTCAGCAGGGAACCGCCCGTGACACAGTTCGAGCCCATTAGTTATACGGTGAGAGATGTAGGGTATTAGTGCACTGGAGTCGTGAGCAGCTAATGGTAATGACAGCGCAGATTAGAGTGCACTCGATCAGATAAACGGAATGGGGAGGTGGGGACTCTGAGGCCGTTCACAGATTTATAGCTCGTGATGCTGAGTGATGGGTCTATTTGGTTACCGGCTGACGATATATAACGTTTTCTGTGTCAAACATAGCTGATATGTGCATTTTTATTAAATAGGTGTCATATTTGCTTGAGCTTACAAACTTACAAAAGTTCAGCCTTGCAAGTTCCCAACATTTTTTTTTTTTCATATGGGAGAAGCACACCAAATGATGAGGTGAAGGTATTGATTGATAAGATCCAAGCACACCAGATGGATGAAATTGACATTATTTTATTTATCGGTTGTATTGAACTCTTTTTGACTAACGAGCTGAACTCGTTCGAACGTCGGGACTAATAACGTCGGGAACTCGTTCGAACGTCGTTTTATTCATAGAACACTCGCACTTATGGGGCAGGCGGCAGCTCAATTAAAGGGCAACGGATCGAGACGTTTGTTCCAGTACTCTCGAGATGTCCAGTTTCCACATCTTCCCTGAAAGCTGTATGACCCTGATTCACATGACCTTCGACTTGAGGTCTTTTTCTCGAGACCATGTCAGGCCGGAATAGCTATTCGACGGTTATCAGCACTTCAGCTGTGCGTTTTCAGTCTTTTTCTTGATCAGAAGCGTATCGATATATGGCATTGTGTTTTCCCCATGCATTATAGGATAGCAAGGTCACGTGAAGGTCAGGTCTCGGTACTTTAAATTCTAGATGACATCGGTTAATTTTTTTAGGTTTGCAGCTTTTTACAGTTAGTTGTTTACCCGTCTTCGGACTTAGCAAACATTTGAACGTTTGAAAACCAGCTCCAGTGCCTATGCAACATATGTTGCGAAGCTGTCAGTGATGGCTAGCAATTACTTTGGATAGCCGGCGGGACGCTGCCTGGTTGACCTGACATGACCGGACCCGGCCTACTCTAAATGCATGAATGCGTCATCTTTCATTAACCCGCGCTCTGATGGGGTCTGCCGAGCAACGCGGTCTGCTCATGGGGGTGGGGGCATTTTGCCTCCCCCCCCCCCTAAGATCTCGAGAGTCGAGAACCACGCAACAAAGTGACAAGCGGCAAACGGCGTTGGATAGCCCCAACGGGGAACTACCTTGTGACCCAATTTCATTGACCTCAGTCAAACCGATGACGTCACAGGTCAGGTCAATGGTCGAATTTTCACCGTTTACAGGCATTTCAAGAAATGCGTTGTAAAATCGAGTAAAATGCATTTCATTGAAAATCATCGATAGGGAAATGTTCGTCAAACACATATTTTGCTATTTGAGGTCACTGATACCAGGTCAGGTCACAGAGGTCAGGTCACTGAGGGTCACAAATAAAAAATATCATGTGATGCATGTTTTATGGTCCATTTTATACGCAAAATGCGATTATGTGGGACAGGCAGCCCTTGGGGTCAGTTGAGATTATGTTTTGGTGAAGGTCAGGTCAAGGTCAGGTCAAGGTAAGGTCAAATTAGGTCAACTTTCAAAATTGATATTTTTGCATAAAATGGGTATCGATTCGATACAGCTCGTCACGGGGAGTTTAACCCTCGCGGGCACAGGGGGGGGGGGTTGATGCAACCCTCCCAAAGGTTTTTTGCGAATAACTCGCGTAAAAAGCGGCCGATAACGACAAAACTTTCAGTACCCTCGCATTGAACAATTTTACACCTACCCTGAAAATTTCATGACCCTGACCCAAATGACCTTTGACCTGTGACCTCTTTTCCGAAACCATGTTTGGCCGGAATCGCGATTCGGCGTATGTCGGCTCGCATTAGCCGCGCGTTTGCAAGCTTTTCATGGTTTCAAACGCTGAAAAATGCGATTTGATGTTGCTCCCATGCATTAGGGTGGGTGTCAACTGTCAAGGTCACCTGAAGGTCAGGTCAGGTCATTGACCTATGGTGACCTCAGTTCACTTTTTCGAGTTTTACATGTTTCTAGGCTAGTTTTTGTAGCTGAATTAGAATTTAGCAACCATTTGAACATTTACGAAGTAGTTTTGGTGCCTTCGTAACATGTTACGAAGCTGTCAGAGGCGGATGACAGGTACTACGAATACCCGTCACGACCCCTACCGGTTGACCTGACCTGACCTGACCCGACCTGGTCTAAACGCTTAACAACATCATCTGTGATCAAAACAAACACGATATTCGTGATCAGCACCCCAGAAAACCCCTTCGCAGCCACACTTCACGACTTTCTAACAGGTCCCGATATTCCCGATTTTCAGGTCATTGACCTGACCTGCAAGGTCAAACGATGACTTAGGACCTTAATTTTGGGTATCATTGGCTTCCTCTCGTGACGGGCAACACGCTCGTTTTTTTCGCGAAGCTCTAGCTCCATCAGGGGGCAAACGCGAGGGGGAGGGGTCGTACATACCACCCCCCTTGTGCCGTCGAAGGACTCAAAATGGCCTGTGCCGGCGAGGGTTAATGGTGGTCTCTGTTTTGCGCTACGTGGTCCAGAATTGCTAAAAATTGGGTTCAAAAATTTAACGTCATCAATTTTTAATAGTTTTTTTCGCTATAACTTGGCCAAAAAAGAGGTATCGATCTAAAATTTGGTACGTATATCGAAGAGAAAAGGGATTATCACATATATTCCGTTTTTTTTCGAAATTCGAAAAAAAAAATTGAAAAGTTTTTGAGTTTTTCTTAAAAAAAACATTTTTTCTTTGGGGGGGGGGTTAAAATCCCAACATTTCGAAAATACGAGATAGCAGTTTTGTAGCGTAGTCTTTTTCTACACAACCACATAAAGAACTTAAAAATCGCTTGTTAACTGTAGAATTGGTGAGCGTTTCAAGATGTCATGTTTTTTGCTCATTTTTACTCGAACATGACCTCAGTTTGTCCTCAATAACTCCTGACCCGCGGTGACCTGTGACTTGAAATTTTGTGTGAAGGTGTCAAAGTGATGCCCGGTAAGGTAACCAAAATTTGGCGGCGCTTCTCGCTATTCAAGAAAAACCACATGGGGGCCAAAATGCCTCCCATCAGGGCGCGGGCTAAGAGACACCTGACACACTGAACCTAATTTGACCAAATCTGCACCTAATCTGCACCATATGTGCACCAAATGTGTACCAGATGGCCGTCCGGGAAAACGGCTATTTTGACACAAGGTGTCAAATTGGTGCAGCCGAAGGTACTGAAAGTTTGGCGTCGATACGTCAAGCGGTTTGGAAGTTATTGCAGAAAAACGGGAAGGGGGCTATGAATAGCCTCCCCCGTGGGGTGCGGGATAAAGGGTCCGTGATGATTGGCTTATCTAGCTTTCTAAAAAATAATAACAATGCAAATCATGGACCGTTTATCTTAGTGCACTCACTGGAGCTGCTCGAACCAATGCTGACTCGATTGCACTCACCTCGTACGAGTCGGATTCACTGTAGGCGTCATATTGTGGCGAAGCCGACACCACCGCCAGCGCTGCTACCAACAATATTGACTGCAATGAGGGAGGAAGCCGTCAACTCGAGGGTAACGGATGCTGAGAATGTCTTGCATTCCGATCTGATTGATGAGCATGTGGTTTTACGGGCGACATATGCGTTCCAGGCCATTTGTTCCTACAAATACAACCTTAACTTATATGATAGACAAATAAAGAATGATTTATGTGGAGAGGTCCTATCAAATCAAATAATATATCTGATGTCAACAAAATATGGCATCGTTGATAATTGAAAATAAACACATGCCATTATAATTATCAGCAAACATAAATATACCTAAAATCACCTATGCTTCGGTGAAAAGAACAGTTATCAAAACATCATGGCGGAATAACTAGCAAAACACATATCATCCCTCCCATCCCATCAGCCCCCTCCCCCCCCCCCCCCGGGTCGTACCTTCATGTCTGCTGCTCCCTGGACGCCGCACTGAACCGGCCGGCCGCCGACCGGGGGTCTATATGTAAGCCCGCGGCGGTTGGCGGCCCCCGGCAGGCGCTCGGGCGCCGGGGACGTTTTGCAATCATCTCTGGCTGCGCCGTCCGGGCGACCGACCTCTACCCGCTGACCCTTGACCCCAGGACGGCGCCCCGCGCCGACCTGCCCGCTTCTGGTGAGACATGTGCCACGACGGCCCGGACGCGGAATAAGCGAGGACGCGACGGATGTGACAGAGATCGGATAACAAGAGCTTTTGAAGGTGATGCGCAGCAGGGGGCGGGTGGCTTTTCGGAGCGCGATGATAAAGTGCGTGGAGTTAAAGTCGTTGTTAAACCAGCGAGCTCATCGATATATAGAAATGATATGGAAAATATGGAAATGGAAAACGTTTGGGACGCGCAAAATAAAATATAACAAAAATTGCAATGATATGAAAAGCTACCAGGAAAGATGAATAACACACCCCTTCCACGATGAAACATTGGGCACCCGTTTGATTCGTTTGATCCGTTTGGTGTCAGTTGCTGGTTGTCGATTGTCGAAATGTCGAAATGTCGATCAAACAGGTGCCAAAGGTTTTGTGCCTTCATGAAAAGGGGCAAGGGCCGTTTGCAGTTTAATGCACACGCGTACCTATATGCTGCAGACTATTTTAAAGAATCAGATCGGTTGCAAACAACCTGGACCCAAGAAGCGATATACAAACGACCCACACTTATGTCGAGCCCTTTGCAAACATATTAGGTCTCATGGAAACGAACAAAGTAACTTGCAGTTAGAAGGATGCCATCAAAACAACTTGCACCGCAGATTTTAAAAGTTCATTAGGTAGGTACTGCGAAAATTATCCGTAGAATGATACAGCTTTTTGCTTCCAATGCATGATTCAAAAGAGAAGAAGTATACCTAGCCAAACCAGACTAGTTTATGTAGGTAAGATGTTTGAATTTTAGGTTATCTGCTGTTGAATTAATCAAATCAAAATAGTTACGATATCAAGATATAAGACATAAAAGGTATACCTATAATGAGAAAAATTAATAATCAAAATATCTACAAGCATTGAAGCCTCATAGAGTCAACGTTTTTCGGGACGCCCGGTATACCTACTGGAGGTATGGACGGCCGATATCGTGATCAAGCCATCACTATTCTCTTCTTCACCATATGGTCACAGCACGGATAGGTTACGTGTTAACGCCGCGTGAGCCCTGCCCCCACAGTCCATTGACCGCACGACTCCCCAATGAAGTGGGCTCAGATGTTGCAAACCCAATAGGACAGGTGCCAGGTACACTTTTGACCCCCGTAAGACCTCCGTCATTGAATCACGCTCAGTCGTTAAACTGATTCATTCGGCCGATTGAGAAATCCTAACATTGTTATGCGAGGTCAATGTGCGGTTCAATAGCAGGATGGTGCAAATGGTGCCGCACTTCCAGTGGCGATATAGGTAGATTTAATTTTATATAAATTTGGTATTATGAATATGCAAACATTCTGGCATTTTTCATCCTGTACTTCTTTGATTTCTAGTGACAAAGACATTATTTTTGCCTTCGACATTATTATGAGGCGATACCATATGCCTTAGCTGGTCCTCGCGGGACCTATCAATTTTCTTATTGCGCCCAGGCTCACGGTTTGTCGGAAGGCCAGTGATGCACAAAATAAATGGAATGTCCCGTGGCCGAGAGGGGGTGGGTGCGTGGGTACGACCCCCTTCGCCATTTCGCCCCTAATTGAGCCGGAGCCTCGTGGAAAAGAAACGATCACGTGCGCTGTTACGAGGCGCAAGGGCCGGTATCCGATTTTAAGGTCGTCTCGGGGTCAACCAGTGACCCTTGAGGCTATGTCAAGTGCCCCAAAGTAGGGGTTTGGTTTTCGGTTAATAACTTCGCCAAAAATAACTGCAGAGCCGCGATTCTGAAACTATCGTGTTCCCCATGCTCAGACGTGTCGAATGACATACTAGGTCGTTCAATAAGTAAGGTAAAATCGCATTTATTTCAGTCCACCTTTGGTGTAACGACATGAAACTTGCAACATATGTTAATTGAAATATTGTCTTCAAAATGGCTATAACTAGCATTTGGTAGCAGGTCCCATCGGTCAACCACCCCAGCCTTCAGAACTCGCACCTACTTCCAATCACCGTTCAGGCGCACGTGCTTATCTCAGCACTCCAACAAACACTGAAAACCCGCTCGGAAAACTCCTTATTGATGTTTTTTACCACGTCTTTTTATTTTCTTGATTGCCTCATCCGTAAAAAGTTATTCCCGGAAACAGAACGTCTTCCGGCGATCCGAACAGATTGAAGCTGGACGGCGCCAGATCAGGGCTATAGGTACTCCAGCATTCCTGTACTGAAAGAGCAAAGCCACTCCCGCACTGATGCCTAGTCGGGCATCCTTCTGTTGTTGAGTGAACTTTTTGGTATCCATCTCAGGCAGACCTTGAAAATATTTAACGTATCTGATGATGCCTGTAGCTGATTCGACAGAACACTTCACTCCGTAAATGAAGTCAGTCAAGCGAATGCTTTCGGTCTTCATCATCACCTCGCTGATTTCACGGATGGTGCCAGATCCAGAGGGTCCAGCAAGCATAGGTCTGCCTGCCGTAGAATTTTGTCTCTTACACTGCCGTATCACTACCCACTGCCCACCAGTAAGCATTGTTAATGGTCATGTGGCGTCATCAGGGTACAATTTGCTGCCGACGCCGGTTTTGAGATGAACTCGAGGCTCACCTGACAAAACGGCACTTCCCAAACGGAACGGTGCAGCATCAATGTTTTCATACCGACCGTGTTCGGACAATTTTTCAAACTCCTAAAAACGGTTGGATACGTTGTGTAGCAAATTTTTCGTAGATTCAGATGACATATTTTATTTTGTTTAACTTGTTAAGGTTAATGAGCTATAGCACATTTTACCTTACTTATTGAACGACCTAGTACTATTTGTTAGGGTGAGACCAGCTTGAGGTGTTGACCTCGGGTCAAGGTCAGTTCAGAACTTAGGTCACGAAGCTGGTCAAAGGAGGTTATATTGTAGTGTAGGTATATCGCTCGATTCGACAGGTCTTCCTGAGTCCATTGGTGGTTTTCTTGACCCTCTGGCTCAATTTGAGCAGGAACTATTGATGAAAAACTCATATATAAGCCTAAGGACGTTTAACCCTCGCCCTGGCAGGGGGGGGGGGTCGATGCGACCCCCCCCCCCCCTAAGGTTTTTCGAAGATAGCGTAAAAACGGCGGCGCGCAGCGCCGCCAAATTTGGCACAGCCTATGGGGCAACCTTTTTACATATGACCTGAAAATTTCAGGTCCGGGTGACCTTAGGTCAGGTCACCAGGTCAGAAAAACCGGTACCGTAAAGTGGGGCTATTTGAGACAGTGGGGCTATTTGAGACAGTATTTAAAATCGCTATGAAATGAAGATCGTTTGATTTTTGTGTGATATTTCTGCACAGGGAGGTGTGGAATCGAGCAGTAAATCGCCTGAGCAAAAAATTAAGCATGAATCTTAAGTGGTTTTTATTTTACAGCAATTTTAAATACTGTCTCAAATAGCCCCACTGTCTCAAATAGCCCCACCTTACGGTACAAGGTCATGGTCAAATTTCAAATTTCTTTTTGCACCTGTCTTACTCACAGTTTTGCACTGATTTCCTTCAAACTTTCAGGATGTGCTAAGTTAACCGAGTTGTATAACATATAGTTCGGGTTTTTTGAGGTCACTGACCTGAGGTCAGTTAGAGGTCATTACGTCGTAATGTTAAGCCTATGGGAAAATACTAAATTCGGAAAATACCGGAGATATCCGCTTCGTTCTATCACTTTTGTGCTTTGAAACCACAGTACTCAACAGCAGGTCACTTGGTGCTTCTTTGTTTGGTGTACTTATCCATGGGTCAGGTCAAATGAGGTCAACTGAGGTCAAATGACGTGTTTGCCAATAACTTGGCACATAATGACGCTAGAGCTTAAAAAATGGTACCATTGTGTTCCTGGTGATCAGCCGAATCGAATGATATGCGATATGATGCAATTTGGTTAACTTTAACTTAATTTTTTAATTTAAGTTTACTTAAAATTTAAGAAAAACTTTAAGTACACTTAAGCAAGCTAAAAAGTATATCCTTCGACGCGCCTTGACGTGCTGAGTTCACTGGTGCTTTTCTTTTTGCTCTATCTTAATTAGATCAAAAGTTATAAGCGAAAAACTTTTGACCTGTTTTTAGCGAAATTTTTACATTTATACCCCCCAAAACCCCCCTAAATATTGACCTAGAGCAACCAAATTTGCACAGGGGCGAGAACTCCAGGGGGCCCACCTACCTACCGAATTTGGTGTTTCTAGGTGCCATAGGAGCCAATCGCGAGGGGGGGTCGCATCGACCCCCCCCCCCCCCTGCCAGGCCGTGTTATGAAAAATGCCCTGCCAGGGCGAGGGTTAATGACGTTACACAAGGTCAACGATGCAAAAGTGAAGTATCGGACATTGCAAGAAGTGCATGGAACATTACTATTTGAACAGGATCCATCTGTCTGTTTGTTTGTCTGTCCGCCACGCCGTGTAGTGGGTTCAATTTAGCCGGCCTACAGGGCAGACGGTATATCGTAGGGGGTTGAAATTTGCACACCTTATAGGTGACAGACCGGGTCAGCGCCTTTTCTAGGTTTCGGCTCGCTGTGGTGCACGGTTTGCGCGTGGGGCGCGCTGGAAGAACGCCAATGAAATTTTGATCGGTTCGTAGATCTTCATTGAGAGCCGGGGTCGACAAACTTTGTGAGCTAAATGCATGCCGATCGGTGGCGGGTGCCTCGCATTGGCGGATGGGCAGGTTTTTAATTTGAATAAATAGTGGCGAGAGAATGTGTTGATTTTCGTTCAATGGGAAGAGTTTGTGATACAAGTATAAAAACGCACCGCGTTTGCCGCAATGCGTCACATTGGTCACAAGGCGCCATTTTTGCCGCAAATCGCATAGTTTTGTCAAATATGGTCCGATATGGGTGCAATTTGGTGCCAGGATGCATGCTCAATCGCCGGGTGAAAATGCGCCGCGTTTGCCGCAATGCGCCACATATGCCACAAGGCGTCATTTCCGACAAATACGATTAAGCGTAATGGAATGGCACGAATAGGGGCAGGGCTGGGAACACTTTAAGTCTGATATTTTAGTACTGATTGGATCCAATTATTCTGTGACCTGACATGACCCGGCGGTGTTGGTAGGGGTAGGGGTAGGGGTAGTGGTAGGGGTAGGGGTAGGGTAGGGGTAGGGGTAGTGGTAGGAGTAGTAGTAGGGGTAGGGGTAGTGGTAGGGGTAGTGGTAGGGGTAGTAGTAGTGGTAGGGGTAGTAGTAGGGGTAGTGGTAGGGGTAGTGGTAGGGGTAGGAGTATGGGTAGTAGTAGTGGTAGGGGCAGGGGTAGATGTAGTGTTAGGGGTAGGGGAAGGGGTAGGGGTAGTGGTAGGGGTAGTGGTAGGGGTAGTGGTAGTGGTAGGGGTAGTGGTAGGGGTAGTGGTAGGGGTAGGGGTAGTGGTATGGGTAGGGGTAGTGGTAGGGGTAGTGGTAGGGGTAGTGGTAGGGTTAGGGGTAGGGGTAGTGGTAGGGGTAGTGGTAGGGGTAGGGGTAGTGGTAGGGGTAGGGGGTAGTGGTGGAGGCAAAAGTAGAATTGTGGCCCGGGCTGATCCCATCGGACGAGAGGTGACCTATGTGACCTGGCCTGACCCAAAGTGACCGGGGTTGACTCCCTTGGCCTTTCTAGACCCCGTATCAGCCAAATTTCATCCAACAAATCCCTCTGAAGTTCTTTTTTAATTCTCTTCACATTTCCGTCCATACCTATGCTTCTAGACGACACATAGATTTGAAACGAACACCATTCGAAAGCAAATTGGCTGGTGCCGCAATTTTTCCCTACCACGCAGCAAAGCAAGTGGCGCAGCCGCTTGTCTATATTACTATTTGAGGAGGGTGCGTCTGTCCGTTACCGAGGTCCCGACTTGGTGGTGCTTTGCGTGGACTACAGGCCAGACCGTTGCACCTAGCCCGGTGAAATTTGCACAACTAATAGATCAAGGATGCGCGACGTGCCTTTGAGGGGTCTCAGCTCGATCGGATTGATAGGGAGCGCGTGGCGCGTGCTCAAAAAGTGCAAATTCGCGTCATAGACTTTACATGTATAAATCGGCGTGCGAAATCGGGCGAAAACGGCTAATTTTGGCCGACACGGGTCCAGTTCCCGTGCCATATCTTGGTGACCAGGGGTCCGACCGGCACGGGGAAAACAGCATCGTGTACAGAATTGAACGGGCTATTGAATGGTGTGCAATGCAGAGGATAGCACGCGCCACGTGCACCGGAGAGGGCACTTTTATTTGAAAAATTGCGGTTTTTGAGGGAATTTGGAATTAATTTTATTTTTAGGTGACCGTTAAATGGAGGGAGTTTAATCAACGCCTATTCGCAAGAGAAAGGTACCGCCTCTCATATAAAAATTGTGAAAAGCTGATTGATCCAAATCAATGTGGTGCAAGTCACAGGAGAAAATGGTGTTTGTCAATTTTGTGCCACTTTATTAATCACACGGGGTTTGCTGCATAACCTGATACCTTTGGCAATTGAATATGGTACCATTGGATAGAGCATTCAATTCTGTCCTATATTCACTCTTCATTTTTGCATGATGAGCAACAGTGTTCTTAAAAATGTAAATGTTCCAAACCATTACATTGTCATTTTTAGCGAAATTCATCCATGGCCCTCAAAAGACTTCACGCCAGTTTTCGAATCATTCTAAAGTAAAACGCATGATAATACGACACGGGCACCTCGATGCGATGTATCTTTTTTGTTTTATTACAAAATGCTTGGCCGTCAAAAAGAAATCGAACGAAAAGGATACCAACCAAATCGACACAGACCAACCCAATACCCACGGGTCAAAAAATCCCCCCTTCGCGTTGCGGAGCACGCGGGTAACCCTAGTATGCTTGCTATTGGTTTAGATCATTCCCGGCGCTAAAATAACAGTTTCCACGTCTTCCCTATTGACTTATAATGGTGAGGTTACGTGATCGACCTGACCTCATGTGACCTTGAGAAAAATCCGGGATATACAAGCTGCGAGACATCTGGAGGATACTAAGTAGGTCTTGTAAGTTTCGTCTCACTGTACTAAGGGCATTGCAAATTTGTCTTTCAGGCCAGTCAGGTCACTGGCCTATGACATCAAGAGATGTCATAGGTCAGTGACCTGACTTGACCTGAAAGTGCAGTTGGTGTCACAAGATCCGACTTGAATCAAAAGCCAGATATGCCGAGTTTCAGCTCTCTATGTATTACCAGCGTTCTCTGAGCTATCGCGGAAAAACTAATGGGGGCGGCACCCCCCCCCCCCCCACACTCCCGCTCCCCACTGCCACCACCCATTCCTCGCCTTTGCTGGTGTATGGAGACGGCATTCCACCGAAGAGGCGATACCGCAAAATACCTATACGGATGTTTGGTGCTACCTTCCTACCGACTCCTGCAGTCTCCGGTCTCCCGAGGATATCTTCTCGTATGTAGTTGCAGTCCAGCGACTGCTTCGAAAGTCATATGCCTGTGCGTTTTTAGACCCCTGAACGTGAACTAAACGTTCACATATTTCTCACACTTATTCTTCTCATCACCTTTCCAATACAAAGAGACCGCTTTCGAGCATGTCTAATGGCAAATAATTCACTTCTTATCAATTGTATTATCCCAAAGTCATGTTTCCTATTTCCGGGATCTCATTCAGCCGGGTCCGTCGTTTTGTCTCCGGCGCCCCCCGGGACACTGTGACCACCACTGTGACCCGGCCGTGTCCGCCGTACTCCCGTTCCGGCAGTGACCTCTGCGCTGACCGATCGGCCGACCCTGGCCCAGATCGGGCGTGGTCCGATCGTCTGCAGCGATCGGCGCTGTCCGCCCCGGCCGGTGTCGGCGGAGTGACCCACAGACGCCACGTCCCAGTGCCGGCTCCCGTCCGGCGGCTGTCTGTCCTCTCACAATGCCCGGCTCCCTCCCACATCCCGACATCTGTCTCCCGGCGGCCTCCGCGTTCCGGCGTCACCACTTATCCCCGCCCCACTCTCAGACGAGGCCAATTCGCGGCCCATTTGCCGCCGTGCTCCATTCAAACTAGCGGCAGTCGTTTAGGAGTATAACAGATGATGTCTTCGTGATAATCGTGTGAAAGGGTTGACTACGAGCTCCCAAACTACTCCACTTGGAAAGTGACGCTGTCGGAACCCCTTGCGACCGAGTTCCCATCTCAAGTCCTGCACAGACTGCACCCAGTCAAGGTCTCTGCTGTGAGACGTCTATTCTCCGACGCACGTGCAGTACGAGCTCGGGTAGCCCGGCGCACCGGTGGCCTACTTTTGCTCTGGAGCGCTGGCCGTGCGGGCCCCGGGGGCTCATCAGCTGCGCGCGCGCCCGCTGGTTGATTGCTGTTGGAAGACGGGCCACCCCCCACCACTGACTTGCAAGGCTGGCGCGGCCCGCTGTTCCAGTAGTACAGCAAGGCCGCGGGAACATGCTAGTGGTGGTTGGAGTTATGATTCAGCGCCAAAGAGCTAATGCAGCAGGAGTTAAATGGAGTTACTTATTCACAACTACCCTGTAACGGCATGGCGGTGCCCCACGATCTGCCGAAATGGGTTCTGCTGACCTCGTTTGACCTAGAACTCGCTGGGAAGATGCTGCTCATGGAGGCTCTGCTGCAACTATTAATCGGCTAGCAGCGTCCTGTGTTATTCCAATTAATTTCGCTCGTGGCAGATTATGAGCGATTAATCGCAGTGATGAGCACAGCGAACTGCGATGCTCGATAATTGAACCCATCGAGTGGTCAATAAGAGCCCAAATGACCGAAATTGCGACACGCTTGGCTAGCCCCGTGCCCCAGCCATATGACCCACCCTCTCTGACCTTATGATCGGAACGGGCCTAACAGCGGGGTCGCATTGTTCAAACAAGCAATTTCGATATCCCCTACTCCACCTACAAAGAACAATATCAGATTTCCATAACGCTTTCCTATTCATCGCATTTATTACGAAAAAAAATACCGTGTCAGTATCTGACATCTGAGCCATTAGCAGAATTGTGAAATAGCAAAACCACACGAGCGATGGATCAAAGCTAGACCGATGTATACCATGAATCTGTAAATATGCCGACTGGCTGTCTGGAGACGCCACCGGCCCACGCGGGTCACCACCGCGGCCGGGGCGTGGGAAGCGCGGTCGGCGGCCGGGCCCCTCAGCCCGCCGCACTCAGGTGCAACCCGAGCCGACCGCCTGACCCGACCGTGACCCTGCCGGCCGCACGTGCCGGGGTCGCGGGACCGACCCCTCCGGGTGGCCCGGACCCTAAAGCTGAGGGTTTTACTGCGGGTGGGTGGTGGATCCAGTCACGAGCGGCAGAAGACGTTCACACGGTCTCGGCTTGAGGCCGTGGTATTTTGAGCTACATGACACCACGTTAGAAGTTGCGGGGAGTCGTGGATGTACGATCGATGTTTCCGAGAGAACAGAGACGTCACAACGCGAAAAGAAACGTTGCGTCAGCGCTGCGCCGGGTTTTAGTACCGCCTGCGGTTTAGTACCGCCCTAACTGCGCCGCCGTGCCGAGACGGCCGTAGTCGGTGCGGCTGATCATATCAGCTCGGCGTCGGCCGCGGCTGCCGCCCGGGGCAAGGTCCTGACATTGACCGAGCCACTCCTCTCAGTCTCTCTCCGCCATCCGTCCGCCGCCGAATCAACAAACATTTCTCTCTCAGTGCTCCGTATATTTTGTGTAAACCGATCTATAACGTATGACGAGAACGCTGCGCTAACTGATACGCCCACAGCAGCCGTGACCAAGCACAAAACGGGAACCGACTAAAAACTGAAAGCCGCCGGCCGGGCGGCGGGCCTGCGCGACACACCGGCCGCCCGGCCGCCGGGCAGGAGCTCAGAGCACGGCGTTGTACTCTGAGAGGGAGGCAGCGCGCGGCACGGTACAATATACACAGTCCACCGGGCAGTACCGTACAACTCCGCCCGGCCGCCAATGCTCGCCACTCACTCTCACGCACTCACACTCACTCACTCTCGCGTCACTCTCGCTCAGAGTTCGACACGATCGGCCACCGCGAGCCGCCCGCCCGTCCGCAGGGGCACGCGACCGTCACACCCTATATTGCCAATAAACGATTAACAGCGGACACAAAGCATCACAGTACTTGACATATCGATCAGACGGGGCGGCGTGGCCACGCGCCGGCGCCGCCCACTCCGCCGGCGCTCGGCCGTCGCCGTCGAAAGACGCGTCGTCGCAGGGGGCCCGTCGCCGCCGGCACCGGCGCCGCGTCCGACTAGTTCAGGTGGAACCCCTTCTCCTGGGTGGCGGCCAGCAGCCGGTCGCGCATGATCTCCTCGCTGCTGTAGTCGGGCAGCTTCAGGTAGTGCACGCAGGTGTTGACGCTGGGGAAGCTGCCGTCTCCGGCGTCCACCTTTTTGACGACGGTGAGCCGCGGGTACAGGTTGGCCAGGCCGCCGGGAGGCAGCGACGAGCAGCCGGTGGCGAACTGTAGGAACCGCTTCCGCTCCGGGCCGGTCATCTTCTCCAGGATGCTGACGAACCGCAGGAAGCCCGGACTGGGGAACAAGAGAGGTCGGAGGTCAGGTGATGATGTTACAAGACAGCGGCTATTGGCGGGCAGCGTTACCGGGCGAGCGCATAACACCAGTGATGGTGTCTATATAGAAAGGAGGCGAGTTGTAAAGCTCGACGCAGGTGATTATCGTTCCGTGTAAAACCATGGTTGAGGGTGATTGAAGGGATGAACCCGGCTATTTCGGCTGGGCTTACAGGGTTACAAAAGAGCAGGGTTACCAACGAGAATTTTTCTAAATCCCAAGATCACCGCGCGAATTTCCCAAAATCGAGCTCCATATCCCAAGGTCGACAGGATCAAAGCCCAATGTGCATCCCAAGGTCTATAGAAACCAAATATAGAGCAAACAAAGTGTATTTGACGTATTTTCAAATCTTTGGTTGACTAAATAAATCAATATCGTTAACATATCTTGCATTCGGCACAGTTACACACGCAGGCATAGGTACAGAGACACAGCCGCAGTCGCTCCCTTGCACGTTCCCTCACAGACGACACTGAGTTCTGACTTCTGACCTTCTGAGCCTGCACCCTCCACTCTCCAGAAAGACGAGCCGAACTCGAGACGGGTCGAGGGCGTCGCCGCCGCCCGCCGGCCGCAATACGATACGAGTTGAAGCATGATCCGTCGCAATGGCGGATCCAAGGGGGGGGGGGGGCAAAATGGGCATTTGCCCCCCCCAAACGGCATAATTTTAACATTACGCCTATGGACGATGCATGGAAAGAATCGATAAATTTTATGGTTTGCCCCCCCCCCCCCAAAAAAAAAACTCTGAGCTGGATCCGCCTCCGATCCGTCGGGCGTCGCAATTCGCAAACAGGCGGCCAGGTCGGGTGTTAATCGACGCGGAAGCCACTGGGTATTTCGCTAACTGCCTCACTTGAGAGCTGAGACGGGAGAAACCAAGTGAAGACGCGTCAAATAAGGATAACTTATTCGTGCTTCGTTGGTTGCTTGGTAAGGTACAGTGAAACCAAACGAAAGAACGCTCGGTTGTGTTCGGCCAAAAAGGACGGTTTACAAAAAAAAAAAAACAATTAAGTTGTGTTAGATGTGTTCCTGATTCTTTTGTTTGGTCTTTATTCATACTTTTCCTTGTTCCAATGATTAAAAAAATGTGCTAAAATTAGCGGGAGTCGTAAGCTCGGGACAAATCCCAAGGTTTGCTGTTGAATCCCAAGGTCCCAAGGTCGGGTTCAATATCCCAAGATCTTGGGACAAATCCCAAGCTTTGGTAACCCTGCAAAAGAGGTCGTTGGACAAGAAACAACTGGCCAGTATGGGGGTCGAACCCATGACATTCGCGTTATTAGCACGACGCTCTAACCAACTGAGCTAACCGGCCGGCGGACTCAAACATCTCACCACAGAGCCAAATACCAGCAGATCTCTCAACTCAGCACCCGAACAAACAGCAATCGAAACGATTGCATTGCGCTCACCCTGGGGCGTCTACCATCACTCGCGAAACAATAACCCATCAGAGCGGCCCCAGCGGCCGCCCTAACCCCTCCACACCCATGACTTTCCTCCCTGCGCTCCGAGCAGGTTACACTGCTCTGATAGAGGGCCCTGCACCGTCACGAGGGCACAATGTCCGCCCTGGACCTCACAGTACCTCCTTTGTAGCACGATCCAGCGATAGCATATCAATACCGGTACGGCACTCGCGCAACTGAGGCATTCTTTGAAACATAATGGCACACACAGAGATACGATCACTTATGAAATCGGCCATTTCGACCCGCCCGCTGCCGAGCAGTCAAACGAAACGTTCCGATTTCAGTACCTGTCAGCACGCGTCTCGGCGCACCGAATGAGCTCAGTGGTACCGACAGAGCTCCCATTCCCCGCAGTTTCTAACTCTGAGAGTCGGCAGTCAGCCTCTGAACGGCACCAGACCACCGGTTTACAGCACGGCCACCCACCACCGGCGCCGCTCGCTGCGATGCAATCGGTCCGCTCGTAATCGCGGCCGGGCCGAGCAGCCGGCCGCAGAGGCCGCCGGGGCACCGGGGCGCCCGGCGCACCTACCCACCCGGCCCTCGCCCGGCCTCACAGGAGATCGGCCCGCGCCGGCCTGCACGGGGGAGTGTCATAACTCGGGCTGTGGGGGCAGTGACCACCGATTGCCGAACGATGGCCCGGCCTGACGCGACCGAAGCAATACCCAATGGTCGCAATACTGGGAGAGACGCCAACGCCCGGGCCGCTCCGATCATCTCCCTTTCTCCGTGACATAGAACGTAACGTATGTTGTGCCTCCACAAACCTACCAGACTGTGTTGCAGGGGATATTCGGTAATCCTCCCCCTCCCCGTCGCGGCCCGTTCGCTCACCTGTCTTTGCTATAGCCCAGTTTTGGCTCTGTGTAGCTGAGCAGGTCCTCTATAACTCCCCCTCCATCCCCGTCGCGGCCCGGTCGCTCACCTGTCTTTGCTGTAGCCCAGTTTGGGCTCCGTATAGCTGAGCAGGTCCTCGCGGCTCCAGGCGGGCGTCTGGTCACCACACAGCATCAGCTTCACCTCGTCCGGACTGAACGGACGTAGTCTGCGCGGGGAAAGACGTCGGCGTTAGACCAACTTCCATCAAGTTCATGTAAATGAAATTTCAACTTATCATCTGTGATAATGAATATGTGAATTGGAAGACTGACAAATAAACAAACAAATGAAATGAAACAAATCCTAGTTGAACTAAGACGACGTTTAATTACCATAGTTTAAATACCAAGAAACGGCAATCCCGCTACCCTCGCCCCACCCTAACCGCATCCCACAGCCTTCAAACGATTCCCACGACCCTTCACCCCTACCAACCCCTCCCTCCTCGCTCCCCCAAACGCACCTTGCCATGGCGAAGACGCGATCGAAGCCGGCCTTGAACGCGTCCAGCTGTCTAGCGACGCCGCGCCTCAAGTAGAAGTCGACCATGAGTTCCACATACTCGTCCACGTTTTCTTCTGTGACGTCTTGGTGGTCGCCGCCGGGCCGGAGCTCACAGCTCGTGTAGCCGAGAGAGCGAGCCGGCGACGGGAACGTCATGGTTAGAGAGAGGTCCTCGAGGCGGGCTGAGCCGTCCACCTGGTGATAAGAGGGTGGTTAGATAGGGTCAGTGGGGCGAGCCAGGGATCGCACGTTTGTTACAGTCACAAGTTACCGGACGGCGACCGCTTTCCCGTCCCTCTTTGACCTCTCCCCGCGCCGAGTTCGCTGCGACCACGTGTCAAACATCGCTCAATGCTTTCAGTGACTTCAAACGTTTTGGGCCAGTCACGGCTAGGACAGAAAAGGCCTCCCCAGTGGAGCGATACTTTCAACAGAGACTTTACACCATCAGGCACCCAGCAGATATCCCCGTCCCCATGGCTCCCTACCCTCTGACACAGTGCACTCACGGTGAGGTTGGCCAGCTGCCGTCGGCGCGCCTCGTCGCTCAGCTGGCCGTCCTGCAGGATGTGCTGCCGACGGGTGGCCAGCTGACGCAGCTGCTGCAGCACGCGCGCGCGCGCCGGGTCGATGGCCACCAGATCGTCCAGACTGAGCACGTCCTGGTACCAGACGCCGCCGGCGCCGGACGCCTTGGGCGGGTCGAGCTCGAGTTCCTTCTCACTCTCCATCGAGACGAATGAGGAGGTCATCAGGTCGTCCTCGGAGGCCGGGGAGGTGGAGCGGCCGCCGCCGTCCATCCTGGGCCGGGATACGAGAGGTCAGCGAAACGCAGGGGATATTTCACATGGCAGAGAACATATTCCGAGTTCACGCCAACGGTGTCAAGAGTTGTGGCTCAATGTCTAACTCAATAATGGAGGACAACACGATCGATGATCATGCTGTAACTAGAGTCAAAGTCATGTGTCATATTGAGTAAACAGCAGGCCTGCCACTTGCGTGCACGTAGCATGACGCAACAAAGCATAACCAGCATCACGTTCCACTGTTGGCCGCACCTGCTGCTGTGCTGCGCCAGATTCACCGACGACATCAGCTTGAGGAAGGGCCTGGAGAGCGGCAGGTCCACCAGCCGCGAGTCCTGCAGCACCTTGGCCAGCAGGATGCCCAGGAAGTGGAACATGTTCACCGCACGGTCGCAGTGTTCAGAGTCCTGCGGATAAACGAGCGAGACCATCAGTTGATGGAACGACAATGAAAAAGACGAAGTCACACTGCTTCAAATACGGACCAACTAGCATGGTTGCTGTGAACACTATCCTATTGCAAAGATACGCATCGTTAAAGACATGTGAGCTATATGAACACAATACCAAGGCGGCGCCCCCTTGAAATGCCGAATTTATATACGCCTCTGCTTTTGTATAAAGCTAAGCCCTCTGGAGGCCTTATTCCATCTCCTTGCCCTGCCCTCTTCAGCCCCATCTTCACCCTGTCCTACGTGCCCCTGGCCATGTCCCCTCTTGTGTCCCTATCTACTCCCTCGCCGATCCCCAGCCTCCTATCCCCATCCCTCCACTGACCTGTGGAAGCGGCGCCGGGAACAGGCCGCCGGGCCTCATCACGTAGTTGTCGGCCGGTCGGTCGTCCGCGGCCGCCGCGTCCGGTGACAGCACCGGCTGGTCGTCACAGATCCACATACACAGTTCGCGCTTCTGCAGCTCGGCCGCCACCAGAGCGTAAAACTCGAGCGTCGGACCCAGGCCGGTGCCCTCCTCGTTCTCAAACTCCATCTGAGGGCGGACGGGAGGAGGGGCGTGTAAAGAAACGAATACACTAGACGACATAAATACACAGCACATCACTGGACAAGCAAGATACAGCCAGTTTGATGGTGGTATCGTGACAGAGTCAATTTAGAGCAGCGGACTATTCTAAGTAACAACTTTTACTGTGCTATAGTCATGTTGGTGGGAAGTCTCCGGATAAATAGTTTTATTTATAAAACAGTCAGCCACACCATAGATTGCAGCGTAATAACAAAACATAAATAACATACGATACAGATAAAGTATGCATGACTCTTCCTCCTTATCATAACGAAAGGAACAATGCCTCGTAAAAATGACAGACATGACGCTTCCCTACCCTTCAAACCGTTGTCCACTCACCTCCAGAATGCCCTCTCGCTCGGCGTGGAAGTCCATCACCTGTACGGCCCAGTCGAGCAGGTCGGGGCCGCGCGGTACCCGTACCCGCTCGTGGCGCAGCCGGCCCACGCGGAACTCGTGTCCGTCGTCCCGGCGCAGCGCGGCCGGGCCGCGGGTGCGCTCCATCGCCAGCTCGCGCTGCGTCTGCAGCCAGACTATCGACCTGGGGGGAGGGGGCGATCGGTCACAACGAGGTCTACTGTGAATGAAAGGTACTGAACCGGGACTGAATGCGGCAGTGGACTTGTTTTATAGACGCAGGCTGCCTCTATTAGATGTTTAGTTACCGGCGAGCATCATGAATATTTGTCCTCCAGGAAATTGTGACTTCAGGGAGGTGAATCCAGGGGAGCAGTGATTTAATCAAGATCCCTGTGCTAGCTTTATTCAGCTCCTCACCGTGACGTTCCGAAGGCGGTGCAGTTGAAGAACATCTGGCGCGTCTCGAAGGGGAACAGCATGGGGCACTGGCTCTGCAGCATATGCGACCAGTCAGGCAGCGCCTGGCAGGCCAGCACCAGCGGGTCCTGGATCTGCTGGCAGAGCTTGTTGGTCAGCTTGCGGCTGATGAAGGTGTCCCAGGGGATGTCTAGGCGCGGCTCGTCGTCGCCGTCCTGCGGCGGCGCCTGACGCGGCCGGCTCTCGCCCACCAGGTGGTAGAGGCGCCGCAGGAGGTGGACCACATCGTCCACGGTGCAGGGCGCGCCGTCACTGAGCCGCTGCTGCATGGAGCTGCGCCGCTCGGCGGCCGGACTGGCGCGACGCTCCTCGTCACTCTCCTCGCGGTACACGATGGTGTAGACCAGCTCCCAGAGCCGGCGCAGCTTCTCCTGCCGGCTGCCCAGCTGAGACTTCTGCACCAGCCGTTGCACGGCGCTGAACACCGTGCCGTCGCCGGCCTCCAGTGGCACCTCGACGTCCGGCACGCCGGGCACGCCCGGGCCGCGCAGCGCCAGCCGCAGACGGGGCTCCGGCGAGCGGCGCTCGGCGGCGTCGGCCGACCGGCGCCGGCTCTGACTGCCCGGCGGCGGCACCTGGCCGGACACACAGACACAGTGAGAAACGCTGCATACAGAGCGGATGGTAGCACAGGTGACGCACAAGGACCGAGCGGGATGATTTTATACTGAACTGGACCTCGAAATTAGTGACCACAAAGTAGTACACGCTGGCAGCAAAATTCAACCGCAACAGAGGGCATCAAATCAAGTACAGTATCTTTCACCTTCCACTAATTTAAAACGGAGGACACTCATTTACTCGCTTGAGCACTAAGCAAACAAGACAAGCAACAAACATGACCAGGATTCCCACCAAGTCTGTCAAGTGATTGTATCGCAAACTACTTAAACTCAGCGATGACTCCAGTCTGTCCATATTCTATCCTTTCACACATTTACTAACCTGAATGTCCTGCGTCTGCGCCACGTTGGTGCGGCCCGGGCGCGGATCGAACGCCGGTATGAGCGCCGGACAGTGGCGCTTCAGCACGGTGTCGTCGTCCCAGGCGTGTCGCCGGCCGGGCCGCGGGTCGAGCGGCTCCTCCTCGCCGCCGGCCGGGCCGCCCGCGTCGTATTCGTCGTCCTCGTCGTTTTCGTCGGCGAGCTCGTCGTCGTCGGTGAGCTCGGCGAGGAGGGTGGTGTGCCGACACGACTCGAGGAAGTCCTCCAGCGATACCTGGTGGGGCGGCGGGAAAGGTTTTAAAGAGTAGCGGAGACGACAAACTAGTGATACAAGACGCAATGAAGATGTCTGCAGTAAACTGGAGACAGGAGGCAGATAGGAAAAGCATGCGTAGCAAAGAGCTCTATCTTTACCCGATAGAATGCAATTTATGTATCAGAGGAGCAGCCACATTCCATACATTTTAACAAAAACAGTCCTTTCTCCGCAAATATGTGCTTTGGCACACGAGACAATTTGAGAAAACCAAACTGTGTACATTTACCCGGCATCATCAAACCATGGCCGCCCACCAGCCTCACCTGTTCACTATCAGACGAGTTAGAGGTCAGCGACATGGTCAGCCCCTGTGTCAGCGCGCTGGTCGTCGTACTGTTGGTCACCATCGTATTCCCCGACGACAGGCTCGGGAACGACTGTGCCGTCGACATAAAGCTGCCCGGCAGCGGGGTGCTGAGTGCCAGCCGCGCCAGGCTGCTCATACTGGTCGTGTTGGGCGCGCGCAGGAACGGACTGCAGTTGTTCCCGGCGGCGGCGGCCGCGGCGGCCACGGCTACCGGTGCCGGGTAGGAGCCGCCGCCGCCGCTGCCGCCTCGCGACGCGCCGCCGCTGCCTCCGCCGGCGGTCGTTCCGGACGCGCGACGGCGCACCATGGCAGAGAACATCTCCAACAGACCGGCCGACTCGTCGTTCAGGTTCGGGGTGCTAACGGACATGGAGGAGCGCTGGTTGTTGGGCTCGGAGACGGCTGACGCGGCGGTGACGGCGCCGGCCGCCGCCGCCGCCGCCGCTGAGGAGGCGGGGGGAGGCGGCGGGCGGGAGACGGGCGCCGCGCGGCTGGTCGGGAACAGCGGCGCGGGGTTGGACACGGCAGGTGGCGTCTCGGAGGCGCTGTCCTCGCCGCCCGACAGCCAGTCGGAGCTCTCCAGGATGGCGTCCATCTGGGGGAGGCGGCGCGCCGAGACGGCCGTCAGTCGGCAGGTCAAACTAGACCCAGAAGCTTAACTAAACCGATTTGTGGATTCGAATTGGTCGGCACTCGGCAGTCAACATAATAAAACAAATCCTCGACCTAGAGCGCTAGACCGCAACATTTGGGCGAGCACTTCCATAGAGAATCAGCAAAGGTCTGGGACTGTGGGATATACGTCAAGCAAGCGTAATCAGAGATAAAACATAGTAGACCACATGGAGACTCTATAAGAATCCCTCTTTCACAGAGTCCCATAGTATCCCAATTCCCAACCAATGTCCTCAGTATCATGCACCGTTGTTGGACACCCACCTTGTTTCCGAACACCACCCGTGAGAGGACCGAGTCGGTCGTCTGGTCCAGCGAGGACATGGCCTCCGCGTTGGCCAGCGTCATCACGTTCTCGGCCACCGCCTCGGCCGCCTGCTGTGGGAGCAGTGCGGGTGCTACGGTCAGCATCAGAGTGGGGAAATGCGGACTGGGGAGCGCCTGGAAGCATGTGACTTCATTGTTACATCGCACAGCTGAAGTAGATACAATTTAGAGCCACATTCAGTTTGATATAGTCAGGCACGCAGCGCAGCCTGTAGTTGTCAGTTGTGCATAGATAAGCGAATTAGCCAAGTCCATGGGGATTGTCCACAGGGATTGCATTGTACGCAGCATCCTTATACCCCCGGACCGTAGTGGCCATCGCGGGTACTGGCAGGAGCCATGAATCGATATCGCTTGACTGAAAGGAGACGACCGAGGCAGAGGCCGAATCCCATCCAAGTCAAGCTAATCTCCTCCACCCCCTTCATCCTCAGAAACCTGGCTCGCGATTCCCAGCCTCCAGATCTCGGTAGATCTCTGTTAGCCACCAGTACTCTGTAGAATGAATGCTCCCCTCAGCCCCTTTCATCCCTCATGTCATGACACAGCTAACAGCTTTCTGTCCCAGCCCAATATCACATCAGCCCGGCCTTCCCAGTCTCTCACTCCGACTCAAATCCTCCCAAACCCAACCTCTGTCCTCTTGGGTCTCGTCCCTCCCCAGTCGCTCTCCCTCGTCCTGCCCTGCACCCTCCCCCGTTCCACCAACCTTGGCGGCGAGGTCTGCCCCGCACCCTCAGTCCCGTCCCACCAACCTTGGCGGCGAGGTTGTCGGCCGACGCCGCCTGCTCCGTCGACGCCACCGAGTGCATGTCGTCGGTCGTCGCCTCCGGCAGAGAGGGTGTCGACGACGACTTGCGACTGGTGAGCACCGACTGGCGCGGCTTGGACTTGGCCGCGCCACCGGCGGCGGCGGCGGCGGCGGCGGGCGACGGGCCGGCGGCCGATGACGGGGGCGCGCCGACCTGACAGGCACGAGGGCGGGTCAGCGAGGTCGGAACACATGGCTGAGATGAGAAAGTGAGGTTGAAAGAGTGGTACAGCCAATGCACAAGATAAACAGACGAAGCGTTAAGCAGGTTGAACGACATTGAACATGGCACAAATTACCAACTATCCTTTGGATCGTTGAAGAGATGATACAAATAAATGAATCATCCCAATAAATCGATTCTGCAGAGCAACGATGTCAAACTCGAGAATGTGCCTAACTGACTGACCAATACAAGCCACCCACTCTCCCAATAAGAATGCTCTTACCCCACCAGCAGGTCCCAGCCGCTCGTACCTTGGCAGTGGAGGCGGTGGCGGAAGCGGCGGCGCCGGTGGCCGCTGTGGCCGCGGTGGCCGGGGCCGGAGCCACGGTGACAGTCGGGGAGCGGGTGGTGGCCACCGCGCCGGCCCCGGAGCCCGTGCTAGCCTCCGGGTCATAGCCAGGCGCCAGGCAGAGGTCAAACTTGCCCTCGGCGCCCATGCGGTAGGAGTTGCTGCCGCCGCTGTCCCAGGTGACGTCGATCCAGCCTGCGGACGGACGGAGCGGAGAGGTTTGAACGGCACGGTGGACATGTCTTGTGCGCATTCGGCACACAACGCGGTAGTCGTCAACCGCTCCATATTCAACAGTATCCAACTTTATGTGGTTCGACAGCATGTGGCCTCTGTACACGGCATCCTTATACTCCCGGACCAAAATGAGGCCATTCGGAGGTACTGGCAGGAGCCGGGAGTCAATATCGCTTGACTGAAAGGAGACGGCCGAGGCAGAGGCCGAATCCCATCCAAGTCAAGCATCCCCCCCCCCCAATTCCTGTCTAGCTCATGTCGACTCATATACCAGTGTCCAAACTTCACTCAGTCCACCCATTTTCGTTTCTTTCCAACGCAACTCTCCCTGCCTGCCCAGTCTGTAATCACATCCAACCTCTGCATAGACAGCATACGCCAACAAAGTTACTTGAACTGACGTACGTAACCCCCCGTCCCTCCGTACCGTTGTGCAGCTCGGACATGGTGGTGCCGACGCCCTGAGGCACACCGTCCTGATCCCGCCACTTCCAGTCGACTCCGCGCACCACGCGGGCGCCCGGCACCATGTACTTGAGCTGGTTCTTTATCTGTGGCGGAGGAGTCAGGCCGCAGTCAGATGATGGTTTGAAAACGAAACGAAATATGGTAAAAAAAAAATACTTGGAAAAATTTGACACACAATTAACTCAATAAGCAACGTCAAAAAAGTTTTCAAAAAATATTTCAGCGATTCATAGTATATTTTTCAATTGCTACAAATACTTGTTATAATTCATCCGCAATACCACATAGCGCCCATTACGACACCAGCAGTCTCCTCGGAGCTACCCAGAGTTCACCTTCCCCCTATCTCCACACCGCCGCCTCACCTGCCGCCTCTGGCGGCGCAACGACGCCTCCGCCTCCCGGGCCGCCTTCCCTCCCCCTCCCCTCCCATACACCCTCCCCTCACCTGTCGCCTCTGGCGGCGCAGCGACGCCTCCGCCTCCCGGGCCGCCTTGCCCAGGTCGCTACACACGCCCGTCACGGTGCCGTAGACCTCCAGACCCGACAGCGACAGGTAGTGAGTCTGACCGGAGGCGTTACGACCAGTCTGCTGGATTCGGATGTGCCGCCAGCCCTGTGAGCGGAGAACGGGAGGTCAGAGACGGGTGGGTCAGACGGGTCGAGCTACAGCAGTGAAGGAGGTGGTGAGCTGTCGCTTGTGATACAGGTGCTGGATGTTTCCATGATCTTCCAAAGATGTGCGTTGTCGATGAAAGGCTCAGGCGCAGGAGTAACAAATTATTTAATAAAATTATGAGACTGCTTACACATTTGAGATAAGAAGAGAGAAATATATTCATATGCAATCATCAATTTAAAACGGCAAATAAGGAAACACAAGCTCGCTGATAGGATGGGTGAGTCATTGGAGGAGTTTAATCGCCCGCCTACATGTCCGGAACCGATGTTCCATAGAACAGTCCACATTCGGCCAATGTTTCCCTCAGCCGTTCCCATCAGCTAAGTTCTGACCTGGGTCTCCTCAGTGGGCGCCAGCAGCGGCCACGATGCGGTGCTGCCCGGTTCGTTCAGAGACGTGTCCTCAATGTGCATGTACAGCGTGGTCCACGACAGGCCGTCCTTGGAGACCTGGCGGCGAACGGAGGGTGGAAACGTCACACAAGCGCCCGGGGGAATAACATAACATGCACCCCGGCCCAAACAGATACCCCATCCATTATATCGATAAAATACTCACATTTACGAACATTGTCCGGCTTAGTTTAGGGCAAAATATAACACGGACTCGTGACGGCTACTCCAGCTGTTTTTCCTTTATTTTGAATTTAACGTATCACCGAGACCTTAGCTATCACCGAGTCCAATCATATAAACAACATGAACAGACCCTCCTCACGCTGTGTTCCCTCCACAGCCCACATTCGGTGCTCACCTGGAAGACCCAGTTTCGTAGTGCGCTGCGACCGTAGCCCCGGGCGTGTCTGAGCGTATAACAGGTGGGTATGACCCACATGCCCAGGTCGACGGCCAGCCAGGCGCGCTTGTCGTCGTTGGTGTGACAGTTGAGAGGCGTCGGGTCGCGCGAGAGCACGTCCTCGAGCCGTCCGTAGGGCAGGTTGCGTCCCTCAGAGGAGGTGACCACCACCAGACCGTACTGACACGGGTTCACCCACTCGTAGGCCGTCCTGTCGGCGCGAGAGAGGGAGGGGAGAGAGCTAGAGTGGCGCAGGCAGGCAAACTAACACACGTTTTGAAAAAAAACATCACTAGCAAACGAACGTATGTAGATACTGGTCGATAAAACTAAACTGAGATAAAAGCATGAGTTTGTACTTTGTGGCGTATTTGCTTTTCCAACGCAACAGTGAACACCCAACTAATCGGTCATCAAGCAAACCATGACAATCAAAGAAAACGCTCAGACGTGTGGTCAACAACCATTTAAGCGGAATGTTACCATAACCTTCCCCACTCCACTTAACACACTCCTACCTTTGCATTCCCCACCTAAGTCTTTAACTCCCCCAACACACCAAAAGCCCAACATCTTATCCCTTCATTCCTCTCCCCGATTCGAGCCGACAACACTTACTTGGCATTTGTTCCAATCCAGTAGATGATGCCGTTCTCGTCAAAGTCGGACTGGTGGGTGAACACGGTGGATGGGTTATCTCGGATCCGCTTCACAAAGGTGAACGTCGAACGGTCGTAGTCGTACCACTGCTTGGCCACCTGTGGATGAGAGATTGCAGAAAAGGTCAGGTATGGGCTCATATAAGACAAATAGACAAAAGTAAATGATCAGAAGGAACATCCAAGCAGACATACTGGAAGTCAAAACAGCACGATTATGATCATGGATAAGTTCCTCAAATGTGGTGAAAGCTTTTCTACAAATCCCATCATCCAATAACACGACACTCAACAGCAAAGCTGTGACTCCACGCGACTAGCAGCTGCAATTTAAGCACCACGCTGATCCACCACTGACCTGTTTGAGTAGGTACCGCTCCAGCTGCCGTCCCGTCACCAGCGGCTCCATTTTCAGAGTGCGGCCCGTGCAGTCGATCAGACTGGAGTCGCTGGCAGCCCGCTCCAGGCGGAACCGCATCCGCAGCTGCAGCACCTGGGTAGACGAGCGTAATAGGGTGTTACTTGGGGTTCGTGGGGCATCAGTCAACACATGTATCATTGGGCTTAGACCAGCACACGTAATAAAACTGCCTCAGGAATATGTCGTCAGAAATATTCCGTCTTTGTTGTAAAGCTATTATATAATGAATTGAGACAATCCCCGCAAAAGCGAGGAGGGAGGCAGGGAGGGGAGAGAGAGAGAGAGAGAGAGAGAGAGAGAGAGAGAGAGAGAGAGAGAGAGAGAGAGAGAGAGAGAGAGAGAGAGAGAGAGAGAGAGAGAGAGAGAGAGAGAGAGAGAGGGCGAGAGAGAGAGAGAGAGAGAGAGAGAGAGAGAGAGAGAGAGAGAGAGAGAGAGAGAGAGAGAGAGAGAGAGAGAGAGAGAGAGAGAGAGAGAGAGAGAGAGAGAGAGAGAGAGCCGGGACACACGGCCGCACTGACCTGGAGACCGCTGACGGTGCCGGTAGAGTCGTAGTTGTAGACCTGCAGCTTCTCGATGGACTCGAGCACGGAGACCAGTTTCCGTACCAGTGAGACGCCCGGGTGCTCCTGGGAGACCGCCGCCGCTTCCTGGCGACAGGGCACGACATGGAGCGTGAGGGTGTGATAGAGACGGCAGGGGAACCACTGATAGTCATAGATGTCAGGTAGCTGGGTGGGTGATTATAGCTGACAGCTTTTCATGTCTTTACCATGAAACAAAGGTCTATGGGCATTGGGCAGTCTGATTTCACCCACAAGTCGATCTTTTCCGCGAAAAAAAATACAATGTTCCGCTTCCGATTGACAAGCATTATTTACCTTCCTTTCCGGCCCTTTCCCATGTCTTTTGACGTTAGTTTACTTCCCCATCCTCACTACCATCCCTCCTCCATCCCTCCACTCCGCGCACCTGGAAACACTGTTTGAAGAGCCGCTGCCGCTGTTTGAGCAGCCGGTTCGCTCGGCGGCTGGTGCGGTCTGGTGAACTGAGGAGTCGCAGCAGCGCCTGCAGCAGACCGGACGAGTGCAGCTCGTAGGCGGATACGGCGCGCTCGTCACCCAGCAGCGACATGAGGTCCGAGAGGGCGGCGCGCAGGATCGGACGCCACTCGTCACACCTGGGGAGACGGGCGAGTTACACAGGTGCACGCTTAGGTCATAAAAGGTCACGGTCAGGTCATATGTGTCATATATGTGAAAACGTCCCCTATGATCACGGGCGATAAGTGAATAACAAGGAGATTACGTGGGCAGCAGATGCTTAAGTAGTGAAACCGCAGTTGATCGGCAAAAACGACATGACGGCAGCGATGTTCGCTCTAAGCACCACCCATAGCGTGGGCGAGAGCCGTAAATACCGGCGGCCATAACCTCTGAATATTTATCACCATCACGTCAGCTGCCAGACGCCCATATCCTATTTATGCCCAAAACGTCAGGCTAATCCATCCCAGCCAATACGGCGGACAAGAGTTTGCACTTTGCCTGCCGCCTCACTCCCTCTGCCCGCTCCCATCCCCTCTCACCGGTCGACAGCCGCCAGCTGTTTGTGGCAGGCCCGCTCGATCTGCGCCACAATTGTGCCCAGTTTGGCGACCACACCACGCGGCTGCGACTGAGCCACCTTGAAGTACTTCTCGTAGATGTCGCGCGCCTGGGAGCGGACCTGCCGAACAAAACCAGTGAGCTAAAAGCGTATGGAATGACACAAATCGAACTTCGAAGCCAATTTTCAGCATCATAGACAGCTCTTCCGGAACAGGTACTTATGAACCAAATTCCATACGCGTTCCGTGAGTTCGCAACGCACCTAAAAGTCGTATTTCATTATTCAAAGTTAACTGCAAAAGGAGACTCTAACACCATTTCTTACGACCATTCGAAACAAAGGAGATCAGCCGCTCGGCTGAATATAAAAGCTGCTCCACACACCGTGTCCTTGTCGTTCTTCACCTTTTGTTTGACGGCCTCCACCTTGGATCTGAATCGTTTGCACTTTTTGCCCGCCCAGCCGGCCGACAGTTCGGGGCCCAGCGATGTCTCGGCAGTGAACGTGTGCTTGGTGCCCCGGTTCGACTCGAACAGGAACCCGGCTAGGTCCTCCCGCAGAGTGGTCGTTTGCTGAGGGGAGCAGACAGAGGTCAGATGGGTCAGGTCAGGTCAGTCAGGCCTGGTCGGAGAGGAAGAGCAGACATGCTTTTGTGAATCAAGAAAGTGCTTCAGAAGCATCACACATGTCGCATACACGCCTCGGGTAAATAAGATTGAGAACGTTCAGCAGAGCCTAGCCCCGAACCAAAGTCGAAATGTGGAATCCTCAATCCACTATCCATTCCACCATTGTGGAATCCATTCCATCCATTGTGGGGCCATGCGAGCTATAGAGGATTCTTCATGGCTCCGAGTGGAAGATAAGGATATCTTTTCCAAGCGGGTTACTGAAAAACCGAGCGACGAAGGAGCGAGGTTTTTCTGTTACACGCGAAGAAAAGATATCCGATCTTCCACGAGTGAGCCATGAGGGATCCTATATCTTTCTATGTTGAGGTTTATTCATAATTATTTAAACATCATATTCAAATGTATTCATCTATGTAAAAATAGATTTAGAGTATTTTGTATTTATTTCATAAGTTTCATACACAAACAACCGTTAAAATGGCTCGGTTATTGACCAATCATCACTTGAACTCTTGATTTTTAGCTTTGAACCCGCGAGACCTTATCTTCGCATCTCAGAGGGATGCAGAGATAACAAATTTTTATCCTTGCATCTCAGAGGAGTGTGAGATAGAAATATCCCTGCACTGTAAACCCAATGGCAAATAAACCTCAACTAGAAAGATAAAGTGCTGCCACCTATACATCTTCAGCGTACGATAGCTTACAGAACAAACGCTAGATGTCGTGTTTCACTACGGTCAAAATTTTCCACGGTTGTCGTCGATTTACCAAGCAGTTATGCGTATTTGCAATGAACGGGGATGAGTCGATAGAGGGCAGCAGCAGTGCCGATAAGATGATCCCTTAGGAAAGCCCATACAATGATTCTGCCCTTGCCTGATGCCATACAATCCACTATTACTCGACACCTAAACATAGTTCCCAAAAGGATATATTGAATTTCGGCCCCCACGCGCGCCGTGCCTTAAACTAATGAGTAAGGAAATTAACGAGCCCTGGTGACGCTTGGCTCCGCTGAGATCACCTTAGCATAAATTTTTCTAGGGGTACAGGTCGTCCCACGGGCCGGCAGCCTACTTTGCTGCTGGCCTAGGCGATTGCGATCTGCCCCACCTAAACAACAAATGTGTTGGAGGGGGAAAAAGGGAACGCGTGCGTGTGTATGTGTGTGTGGGGTGGGGGGGGGGGGCAGAACTTCCATACGTCCGATATTGATATTAGCCTAGAGCAGCTGCCAGACAGCCGCCTACGATCTTTTTCAGCAATACGCTGTTCACAAACACTTTCACCGATCAAAGCTCAGATCCTTAGATTTTGATTCGTCTTTATTTTTCCCAGATTTCATTTCAACTTGCTCCTCGTATCAAAAATGGTACATTAGTGTATAAATGGAACCAATACAGATGCTTTTCACAAAGGGAATGTTCAAAGCAATTTAACTCAATCATTTCCCCGGATTTTCTATTTGGTTACGCACGTTGAAGGCTCCGATACTTAGTAAGACCTTGCTCGAGTCCTCCCAACTATGATACTGGTGTCCTGAAAATGTATATCATCCAGACAGTCAACATAATTGGAAGACGATCAGAAATGATCCTGCAACTACTAGATACTACATACTGCAACATCTGGAGTCGATATAAAAAGTTTCAAGTCTAAGGTCCTGGTCTCTGGCGCCCGATCCACCCACCTGTTGTCCGTCGTTGTTATTGATGACCAGCTCTCCGTCTCTGCGGCAGCTCAGTGACCAATTTCCCACCACCAGACGCGTGGAGCTCGGGTGGCTGAGGATCGGCTGCGGCGCCGCGTGCGGCCGCACTGAGGCGCGCGCGCGCTGCAGCTTCTCGAGGAACTCGCCGCGGTTATCGGAGCCGTCCGAGCCGCCCTCCGGACTGCCAGAGCTGTACATGGTGGCCAGCTTGCCGTCCAGGATGAACCTGAATGGACGGAAAGAGGAGAGGGGAAGAGATCGCAGGTCAGTACAGGAAACCACGGTGTAATCAGAAGATGTTACATTGGACGTGGCATTCATAAAAGCGACGCTTCTAGGAAGCCAGCATATTACGTTTACATGAGCGAACCGGACACAGCTATCTCTGATAGCACTCCGCAGAAGCATGTCGATATGAGCAAACATAACCCTTCTAATGAAAAAAGGGTCGGATTACTTAGATGCCTCGGAATTATGCACAAAGAGATGGCCATAGTAGCTAAGTAAGCCATCCATCAGCCGCGTCCCACCGACACCGATCAACTATCATGAAACTGCCTCAACCAGCTGAAATTAATTCGTCAGAAATGCCAGTCTAAATACGTCCGAACAACTTCAATGCACTGAGATCGGTCTGAATTCGCCCTAGCTTATCTAAAATCAAAATCCCCTGACCCCTTCTGCACCCACCTGAACCAGCCGTTGCTTCCGTTGCTGAGTTCGAGCGCAGCGGCGTCGGACCAGATATAGAGACAGTCCCGGCCCCGGCAGACACACCAGTCGCGCCACTGATACGCCTTTCCGGGCAGGATCTCACGGGCGTCCTCCTCCGACTGCGGCTGGTCGCATGACTCCTCCGGCTGGAGAACAGAGGGGCAGACAGCGGGTCAGACACGGGACGGAGCCGTCACTGGTCAGAGGGCCAGACACTGGTCGCAGGACTCCTCTGGCTAGCGGACAGCCGAGACGGACCAACAGGTTAGACAGGAGAACGGGCGGGAACGGTCAGACATAGGAACGGGAACCACCGCACAGTGGGCGTTTCAGGGGTTCTAGCCTCTCACAGCCTTTCAAACCTTATAGCCTTGGATCTAGGAGACCTACGCCTACGAATTACACACCAAACTGTAGCAAATTCATTTATGAACGTGAATGCATGACGTTTCCCATGTTATAAGCTTTCGCAATATGCAGGAACATGCATGAAATGTTGCATAAACGTGGCAAAACGGAGCACATCCCTTCCCCCTTGCCGTTTGGCCCCTGATTGAGCTAGAGCTTGGCGGAAAAAGCGAGCGTGCTGCCCGTGATGAGAGGAAGCCGATGATACCAAATTTTAAGGTCCTAGGTCATTAGTTGACCTTCCAGGTCAGGTCAATTACCCAAAAGTCGTGAAAATCGGAACCTGTTAAAACATCGTAAAGTGAGGTTGCTTTGGGGCTTTTCGGGGTGCTGATCACGAATTTCATGCTAGTTTTGATCACAGATGATTTCTTCATGCATTTATGCCAGGTCGGGTCAGGTCAGGTCAGGTCAACCAGTATGCGTCCTGCCGGGTATTCATATAGTAGGTGTCAACCGCTACTGACAGCCTCGTAACATGATACGAAGGCACCGAAACTACTTCGTAAATGCTCAAATGGTTGCTAAATTCGAAATCAGCTCCAAAAACTGGCCTAGAAACATGTAAAAGTCGAAAAAGTGAACTTAGGTCACCAAAGGTCAATGACCTGACCTGACCTTCAGGTGACCTTGACACCCAGCATAATGCATGGGACCAACATCATTTCACATGGTTGAGCGTTTGCAACCACAAAAAGACTGCAAACGCGCGGATAATGTGAGCCGACATATACACCGAATCGCGATTCCGGCCAAGCATGGTCTCGAGAAATAGGTCACAGGTCAAAGGTCATTTGGATCAGGGTCATGAAATTTTTAGAGTAGGTGTAAAATTGAATAGCTCGAAGGTACTGCAAGTTTCGTCTTGATCGGCCATTTTTTACGCGAGTTATTCGCGAAAAACCGAGGGTGGTCCGTTCGACCCACTACAAATGCGAGGGTTAAGGTTTTGAGTCGTTGACCTCGAGTCAAAGTTTGGTCAGAGTCCGTCATGTCACGAACTTGGTCAAAGGAGGTCGACTGTCTAATTCACCTTGTTCCGGAGTTATTGACGGAAAACTAATATGGCCCTAATGACATCATAAATGACGTCATGCAAGGTCAGCAATGCAAAGGTGTAGCACCGTACCTTGCAGGGAGCGCATGAAACCATGATTCCATGTGCCTGAGATAGTTTTAGATCATTCCTGGCGCTAAAATAACAGTTTCGATATTTCCTTCATTGACATATGACGGTGAGATCACGTGACCGACCTGACCGCACATGAACTTAAGCAAAAAATCTGAGATATACAAGTTGTGAGACCTCTGGACGATGCTACGTTGTGTAAGCTTCATCTCCCTGTGAACGTCCCCCTGGCACTGAGAACGTTGCGAGTTGCAACTTGCAACATCTGAGGACCGCGCAGAGGTTCACTTATGACGTCATAGGTCAGTGACCTGACCTGACCTGACCTAAAAATGCGGTTGATTTAACAAGATTTGGCTTGAATCAAAGGTCAAGTATGCCAAGTTTCAGCTCTTTATCTCCGGCGTGTTGTGAGCTATCGCGATAAAACCGATAAGGGGGCGGCATCCCCCCTCGGCCTCGGGGGGGGGGGGGCGCGACTTATGCAGAATTTCGCATTAACTCATGTGCAATATTTCTCATTTTCTTAGGAAACAAAATGTGTTTAAGGTTTCGCGAGACCAGACCGGCCGGATCGTCCACTGTGCATCGCCTGAGGCCTTTCCGGTCACGTGACAGCTCATCCTCCGGTCAATTAGAATGTTTCTGACCCACGAGATAACACTGGCTGGTGACACTGTCATCATTTGAAATAATATAAGCTAAAATGCAAGCTGATTTGTTCCCTCCCGTCACCATGGAGCTAATAAAGGCTAGACAGCGTATTGCAAAATGTTGCATAGCAGCAAATGGCGCAAGTTTGCGCACTTTTTTATTGCTTGGCCGGTTCAATAACATCACAATGCACATTGTGACACACGATTTAGAGCGGGACCTGGGGGAACTCAAAAGATCGGCTTTAACATAGAGAGTGATATTAATTTTAAGCATACCAAATAACTCGATGATATGTTTATCTCTCATGCTGCTAAATGATTTTCGCAACCTCATTTTTCGTTGCGCGGAATTGATCGTAACATGTCACAGAACAACTCATAAAAACATTGGCGTGTAAAACTCACGTACATAGGATCCCCATGGCATCTACTTTGGCTTTTCAAACACCCGAAAACTATGACCTGTCTACGGCCTAAGAAATCTTTGTGTTTGAAGCCCCTTTCACCCTATACCAAGTTGTTGCATGACCAGATAACGGTCATTTATATAATGTATGGACATTTTGTAGTCGATTGGTATGCTTTTTATTTTCATAAAAGCAAAATAATTTTTTTGCTCCGTAAGAGGCTAGACCGGCCCGAACGCCTACAGTGCACCGGTCAGACAGATGATGAGACAAAAGATCAGGTCAGTCACAGGCCAGGAGCGGGGTCGAGCACATGTTCAGCTTCAGACCAAAGACAGAAGATGGCAGAATATGCGAATTGCGAGTACCTTCAGATGGCGGGTCACGTAGAGGATGGTAAGAAATCTAAAAAGTGGGGAAAAACGTATAATAAGAAAGTCTCTGAGCAGCTGAGCGCAACCATCGTGGCGTCCTACCCTACGCATCATTCATGCCTAACTCTCACACCCTCCACTGCCCTTTCTCCCTTCCCCCTGCCCATCCTCACCAGCCGGTCGGCGCAGGCGCCCAGGGAGGGCGGGCTGGCTGAGCGCAGCCCCACGTGCCTATCCCCTATCCAATAGCCTCTAGCTCGTCTCCCATACTCACCAGCCGGTCGGCGCAGGCGCCCAGTGAGGGCGGGCTGGCCGGCCGCGGCTCCGCGTCCTCGTCAGCTCCGGCCATCTGAGCCACCTTGGTGAACAGGCCCAGCCGGGCAAAGTGTTCGAGGAACGTGTCGGCGCCCTTCCTTAGCACGTCCTCGGTGATCTGTAGCGCCACCGCGTGGCCCTCGTCGTCGTCCTGAAGAAAACGCCAGAGGTTAGACAATGGAAGTCAGGTTATAACTGATTGCAATGCGAGGTCCGATACCAGATGTCTTATCAGTTGGTGTCAGGGACACCAGGAGTGTCAACGTTTTAATGTGTCTGTGTAAATATCGATGGCAGTCAATGCCAGTCATTTTACTGCTACGAAATAGAACGGTAGTTTAACCAGGTGATAATTATACAGATGGAGGCGGTCTGTAAAACTGCAAGGCTATAATCACTAGTCAAAATTACACGACTTGGGACTTCCCGCACTCCCCCAAAACTGGTAAGTCATAAGTTCCACCGGCACCACTGTTCAAGCTGAGCGCGGCGTCTGACCCACCTCGGCGTCCAGCACCATATCCAACACCTCCACGATGTTGCCGGCCAGGTCGCCCTGACACGTCTCCGTCAGCAGACTCGGCGATATGAAGTACAGCATCTTCCGCAGCAGGTTCAGTGACGACTTCCTGTGAGCGAAAGTCGGCCAAGGACGTCACAGGAGGGCAGGGAGATCGGAGCGGTGTTTTTGCGGAAACCGTATTAGAGCTGGGGCTGCCACAAATGGCGCACGGAAGACCTACAGCAGCGGACTGAATCGACAGCGCACACAAAAAAGACAGTGAGAGTCGTTGGGAGAAGGACGTAAACCTGTAATATGTAGAGGCAACCAACGTGGGACACGGATCAGGAACGACCAGGCACACCGATCACATCACGGCGACTGGATCTGGGTAAGGGACGGTCGGATATGCTATGAAGACCTATTGTGAAAAATGCACTTTCCACATTGAATTCTGCTGTTATGCAAAAATCCACCAAATATCAGCTGCAATAAATTCTGACACCAATTACAGACGTCATCATCCGACGTATGTCCTTCCTCCCCACCCTTCCCCTTCAATCTGTCGCTCCCCGCACCTGACGCTGGCCACCATGGTGTCCTTGAAGGTGCGGCAGAACATGGGCAGCAGCAGGCGCAGGTAGACGGGCGCCATGGCCGGGTCGCCGCGCGGCTCCTCACTGCGGCCGGGTTCCGCCGAGCCGCCGGCGCCGGCCGCAGAGTCGGTGCCCCCTCCGCCGCCGGTCGGCCGACGTTCCTTGTCGGCAGGCATCATCCACTCTCCGGGCGACTGTAGGATGGCTGCCACCTGTCGGAGAGAGCGGGAACTAAGCGGGACGGCGAGAGGCGGCCAGCCCGTCCCCACACGATCGCGCCGCTATCGGTGTTTATTTGTGTCCCGAACTGCGCGTGGGAATGGTTCAGCTGAAACGGAGGCTTGTCAGCGAGCACGCCGGCATCAAAGGCAGTCGACTGCCAACAAACAAACCGACAAAAATCCAATCGCGGAGTCGGGAAAGTTGGTTGACGGTCGAGACATCAAAGAAGTCACTGAAGCGGTAAATAAAACAGGCGATAAATGCCTCGGGAGACGACAAACGTGATCGTCTCTTGGTATTACCAGTGGTTGTTTTCCGAAGCCTAAGTCAATCAATATCACCACCCCGCCGAAAACTGCCGCTTCACTACATCCCTCTGCTCTCCTCCGCTCTAACCACAAAAATGCCTGACGGGAGCACGGTCCCGGCTACAAGACACACCACTAGCGGGCAACGCTATCCAACGACGCTCAACGGACATCGCACCGTTCAGCCATTCACAATTATTCATCACCCTCTAGTTAGTTCCTCATTTGGACATTACTTTGCATCTCAACTTTGTCCGCGAGTTCTGCCTTGAAACAAACCACCCCTAGTCGTGCCAGACTTAAACTCCACTTCTTCACGCGACGCCGTCACCCTTACCTCTCTATGCCCCTCGTCGTTGCGTTCTCGCGCCTTGTCGAGTGGCGTCTTGCTGTCCTCGTCTCGCAGGTCGGGGTTGGCCCCACACCGTAGCAGCACTTTGGCGATCGCAGGGCGGCCGAAACAGGCCGCATAGTGCAGCGATGACGACCTCTGACCTGGGGAGGGGGGAGGGCAGGGAGGTGGTCAGACGGGGTCAGCAGGGGGTCAGAGGGAGGTCAGAAGTCAGAGGAGTGGTTCAATTAGAGGTCAGAGCTGGTAGGTCAGGGGAAGATAAGATAAGAAAAGGAATCGGAGAATTGGTCAAGGAAGAAGTCAGATGGGGTCATCCACAGCCCGGAGCTGGGATGGGGAGCGAAGGTACGGGTAACACTGAACAACGATTCAATACTTTTTTTCCGTACCAATGTCGGATAATTTAGACGTCCACTACCCTCCAATTCTACTCCAGTTCCAACTCAGTCCATTTCAAATCCAGTCTTGTCCCGTCCGTTCCAGTTCATACCCGACCCCATTCCCGACGGCACCGCTTCCGTACCGGTGTGGCCGGAAGTGACGCCGTTAGCCGATCACACCACCCACCCCTGGAATGTCCGCCGCGCAGTATCTACGACGAGCGACGGCATACGGCGTCAGACTGGCACCGACCGCTCGGCCGTCGCTAAATCAGGCAGGCAGACTGCGCACAACACACGTGAGCCCATAGCGATACCTCCGGTGAAGTAAAATATCAGAAACTCATCACCAGGCTACAGAGTTCATTAACAGCGCAAGGTAGATCAATAAAGGTAATCATGAAACAGTGATAGTCTTTGCATGTAAGGCATCACCCGGCGATAGCGGCAACGCTCTGCCCAAGTCTCTGTTCACGTGTGGGGCGTATTTAGAGGATGTGGGTGTGAAGACTCACTGCTGTGCAACTAAGCTCTGTTTTCTCAGAGGCTAACTATACATATTCTTCTAAGGCTATTCAGTTTTCATAACTGCTCAAGACCAGACCCAGGGAGAATAATAGAATATACTTGAGGTATTCTGCTCGGGAAGTCTAACAGTCTCAGAACACTTAAAAGTTCGTCAACGGATACTCACATCCAAGCACGTCGGAACAAAATATCGCAACTTCGTCCGCGTTCGGAACAATGTTACTCAAAAAAATATTTATATTTTACTCGTAGCCACTCGCTTTCATACGCTCCCTTAGAGGCAACAGTAACGGTAAGACGATGCGTGTTGAGCCATAACTGTACGTATTTTATCAGAACCCGATCTGAAACCGTCTGCTGTTGGCCCGAGTCCGGGAATTACGCGCATAAAATGAAGCGGCAGCGCCTCAAGATAAAACTTGATATCCACTTTATTAGCCACAGTAATGGTGCATTATGAATTGGGCCCTACAAAATGGCAGAGCACTACGCTATGATGGAAAAGACGGCTCTACTGGTTTAAACAAACGGCATACAAGAAAACCTACCAATCATTTTGCTGTCATATAAGAGACAGCAAATCGCACCGTAGGGTCTCTCAGTAAGCGACTTATCCACTGAAGCTCTACAAACTACAAGGGATAAAAAGCAAATGCCAGTTACTAGAAAAGAAGCGAGCCCTCCCCCTCCATCATCACAGGGCCTCCCCAGCCAATCCCCCCTATACCGCCTGCCCATCCCCGGATCTGCCGTCGCGAGCGTCGTGCGTACCTCGGTTGACGTCGGCGCCCTTGTCGCAAAGGTACTCGACCATCTCCTGTGTGCCGAACGCCGCTGCCCAGTTGAGCAGCGTCTGGCCCACGTCGTCCATGAAGTTCACCTCGACACCTGGCGAGCGAGGAGACGGCGGAGGCGCATCAGTACGGGGTCAGCCACTACAGATACGGGCGACATGACAGCGGCAGAGGCTACAGGAGAGGGTAGGGGCCGCGCAGAGGCTACAGGGGGAGTAAACAACTGTTCCGTTAAGTCCTGAGTTGGCAGTTGTGTATCGTGCAATGCCATGCTGGAATGAATAGCTGAGATAATCTCCCTGATAGCAATACTTTTATTAACAAATTGAAGCGCTGAAGCATGGGATAAAAACAGTTTTACAGCAGTTTGGTAAAATGAGAAAGTTTAGCGCTAGAAGGAATGAGGCACCAAGGTGGATCAGTTTTGCAAACGCAAATTGTTTACAGCCTCACACCGCCCCGCACAGTATCTGTTACATAAGTTCATTATTCCCAAGAGTCTCGTGTGTCTCCAAAACACGTCGCTGACAGCCCGGCGGCGACATCTCAGACGGAGTCCGTCCCTGGCAGTGTTTACGGTCGCGCTGTCGCGGTGGGCAGTGACCTCGTTCCACCGTCGACCGGTCGATGACTGGTGGATGATCAATGTACGCCGTACGGTCGCACCGGCGGCAGGTCCCACCCCCGGGGTTTGACAGGTCAATGAGAGTCCAGGGTCCCAGGCGAGCCCGTAGCTGGGGCCTTCGCGCGACAGTGAAAATAGGCACCACTGTGTAACGGCTAACCAGACCCTTGGCCCGATAATACTCAATACACATTCCAAAATAAAAAGAATGGTATGCAGCTTAAGCTAGCATCAGCCGACGTAAGCGGCGGACCCCTCCCCAACTGCCCCCACTTGTGAGCCAACATACGGTATGCCGTCGATACACCCATTGGCATGCCATCGCCAAAGCGTAATCCTGGACCGTCTGTCCAGTTCCCTCCATTGAGTCGTGCCAGTGACGTTCACGGGTCAATGACCGTGTCCAGTCCGTCGCCAGGGAGGGGGGGGGGGGCACACGTGACTTCAAAGCAACACTTCAGTTCCCTACACATACACGTGGACACATGAAACACACAACGTAAGCACAACACTCAGCCTGTGAAAACTGTACGAAAACGTAACAGACCGCACTATTCCGGGTCTTCACAAACGATGATAGAGATAGCCACGGAAGACTACCAGGTACGCAGCTGTGCAAAGCTTATAAATTAAGAATATATTTCTACCCAAAAAGTCATGGATACTGGATAGCCCAAGGCGCAAATCCAATACCAAGGCGCAAAGTCCTATTGGCAGATCCCGGTGACAGTTCACAGCTTCTCCCTTTCGAGTTTCCCAACAGACAGCCTCCAGTGATCACCCCGTCCCCGCACCAGCCGCTCCACGTCAGCCGGGGGCACGTTTCACCGCCCGGCCCACACGTGCATCAGCCGCGTGCGGCGTGACATGAGCTGGTCAAAGTCCGTGATCGGGCCGGCCGGAGAAACAGCCCGCCATATGCGGCACTGGACGTCAGTGGCCCCTCCCCACGGCTGGTGGAGTCGAAAGGTGACGCGATTCACCAAAGAATACCACAGAGACGGAATCAGAGACATAAGGTAAAGCCTTTGCAGTGCCACTGGCGCCCAGCCAAGCGGGCGTATTACGTCACCGTTGAGCTACGGGGAAGTTGGAAACCAGACAACAGCCAGCGTCATCGTTTGTGTTATCGGTCACTGGCTGCGATCTGCAGTATGTAATGTCTACTCAACCCGGCCAAGACCGACCAAACAAACTCTCTGTGGTATGCAGACAGTGCGATAACTACTTACTCCCCAGGCTGAACCTCAGCAGTCAAGACATTCCCTCTCAATTCTCTCCCTACAGTCGCGCTGCTCAATAAACCAAGCTCCCCTACACTGCCAATAACACTCAAATGCCTTTCCAAATTGCCACTGCAACCCCCACTCCGTACCCCAACCGCAGCCATCCGTGCTTCCTCTCCTGCCCTCTGCCACTCACTACGGAGTTCCCAATTCCCACTACAGCCCCTCTCATCCACCCCTCTACCCTCTAGCACTGACTACATCCCCTCCCCTACCCACCCACCGCCCCCCCCCCCTCACTCACCGCCGCACTCGATGCTCTCGATGAGCGCGTCCGTGTCCTTGCTGCGGATACAGTCGATGAGCTGGCGGTGGCTCCGCTCTCCGGCCGAGTCCATCCGCCTCAGACCGGGCAGTCTGCCCGCCGAGCACACCCCCGTGCGAGGCAGCGCGTACCGACCCTCGAACAGCAGGATCAGCAGCAGGTCCACCAGGCGCATCGTGTCCAGCACGCATCTGAGGGTAGAAAACGGGGGCGGGTCAGAACACAAAGAACTGTTAAGACCGTTGGACAGAGTAAGATCCTGGAAACAAGAGGTTCCAGCGTTACCGAGTCTACCAACACCCCCGGGAATGCCACGGATGTTGTTGGTTGCAGTTGATAAACTGTAGCAGAGTAGAGTCCATGCTGCGGTCGACGGTCGTGCTGGGCCTCAATTCACATTAGGGCTGGATCATTTTGACATCGTTCACACCAGTCCACACCATTACATCGCAACGAATACATGCACATTCTCCCTGTTCCGCTATTCCCGCGGCCATCACCCAAGATGAACTATCGTGTTGTTGGGTTCACTGAAGGCTTCCGCAATGGCCTACTGCCACTTTCAAAGTCTCTCAGCACTCCCCACAGCATCGTCCCCTCCCGGCCCGTGCGAGTCACTGAACACTGACGGGCAAATCTGCCACAGAACGCCCAGGGAAATCAGGCGGTAAACGGGAGACGATCGACCGAATATTGTTCAGGGGAGAGAAGTGATTATCAATAGAGGGCGAAAGACGTCCCCTGATGAAGTCTCAGCATAAGCAGTGTCGGTCGATTTGCAGCCCACCGATACTGAGTAGTGGGTAGGATATAGTTCGTCCGGTCACCCAGGGTCGATAGACCGTGCCCCTGCATCCGCATCCTGACTATGACCGGCCGCCGAAAACGGTAGCAAATCTCTCTGATAGTTACGGGAACCTCCAGTGAGTCGGAGATCGAACTACATAGACAACTTTGTCACATAGTTTAAGAAGTATCTCTCCTTAACACCTCACACTTCAGGTAAAGTAAGGTCAGTTATATATTATACTGGGAAAAATACCGCAATGCAAAAACGAAGCCGGAAAGAAATTGTTCCGGAAACTGATCCTTCCTCTTGAGAGTGGATGTAAGACTGTGACGGCCTCCTGATGACATTTTGCTCCCTGACGGATTTCATGTGTCGTCCCGCTGACCTTTAGACTCCAGTCATGCCGTTCGACTGACCGTCAGGTATAAAGCCCGGTTGATCTCCCACTGACCTCTCGTCGCCCCTGAGGGCGCTCTGGATGGCCTCCGGCAGCTCGGAGCGCAGCAGGTCGTGTGTGATGCCCGGTGAGCCGCGACATAGCGTCGACAGCAGACTGATCACCGTCGACAGCGACTGAGACGACTTGGACTCGGGGGTCACTGACGGCGTGCCGCCTGCCGGAGGGAGGTCAGAGGTCACAGAGGGGGTAACAAGGGGTCACTGACGGCGTGCCGCCTGCCGGAGAGGTTAGAGGTCACAAAGGGCCACAGGAGGTTACACGGGGGATCACCGACGGCTTGCCGCCTGCCGGAGAGCTCAAAGGTCATACAACGGTCATGCAAGGGGTTACAGGGGTCACTGATGGCGTGCCACTTGTCGGAGAGGTCAGAGGTCACACACAGGGGTCACAGGGGGTTACAGGGGTCACTGACGGCGTGCTGCATGCCGGAGGGAGGTCAGAGGTCACAAAGGTCATACGGAGGTCATGCAGCGTCAAAGGGGGGTCGTGGGGGTACTATAGCCTACAAGAAGTGCGGGCACAATGACTTTGTAGAAGGGATATCATACAAGGACTAACGTTTTATCACCAAGTCCACACGTCACATAGGGAAGCCTACATCAGTCTACATTTCACTTTGTGCTCGCAATGCGTAACTGGTCAGTGGTCTTACTGGTTTCTATGCGACCGGCACTACATTCCTAACAAACATAGAATGAAGATTCAGGTGAAGATGCAAATGGGCAGAATCAGCCAAGTGTTTTGCACGCCCTTTCGGAAAAAGTTTGTTATGTCTAGACAACACGCTAGGACCATTTCCAAGTTTCCAATTAGTTACCCAACAAACAGCGCTCGCAGCCTTGGGAAAAACGGAGCGCTGTGCAGAAGCGCAAGGCTAGCTCGCATCCCGGGAGAGCTGGGGCCGAACAAAGTGTAGACAAACTGCCAGAACTCTGGGACCATTATCGACTGCCCAGTCCCACGAACGGGTACGAGGCAGCAGTAAAATAAACGACGGAAGCTTCAGTTTTTCTTCTGGGCCACGTAAGTATTCGCTAACGAGGTATTTTCCGCATTCCCTCCCCTCTCTCTCTCTCTCTCTCTCTCTCCCTCTCTCTCTCTCTCCTCCCTCTCCCTCCCTCCCCACACCCACCAGCTCCAGCGGCGGCGCTGCCGGCTCCGGGCTGTCCAACAGTGCGCAGCCGGGCCAGCAGTTCGTCAACCAGGCCGTGCTGGGCCAGCGGAGCCGGGTCGATCCCGCGCCGGGTGTACCGGTCGGCCAGCGAGGCGAAACAGCGCAGCGAGCCGTCAGCCACCTGTCGGATAGAGACGGACAGTGGTCAGAGGGTGGTCAGAGGGTGGTCAGAGGGTGGTCAGGTGGTTAGTCAAACAGTCGAAGCGGTTAGATGTCACAGTGGTCACATGTCAATTATATAGTGTTGATGTATGTTGCACAGCAGTTGCGACGCAAGAGGCGACTGAGGATGAGCACGGGCAAGACGCTGGCAGACAACGGTAATGGATAGCGGCACACTCCATATACAGGCGCAGGTGAGCAGGATATGGCAGAGGGTTTATAGTGGTAGACAGTCATATCGGGACAGGGGGCAGCTATCCAGTCCCATATCACGTCAGAAAATATCACGTTAGAAAAGATCAGCAACGTCAGATCAGTCACAGGTAAGCGGTACAGAGCTGGGATCAGCAGCGATCACCGCCATACTTCAGCTCGTCAGGCCGGACAGAACACCCCTCCCCCTGAACAGACAGTCGGGCTGGGCTAACAATGCATGCCGCGGTACGGTGGTTTCAGGTCAGCGAGCCCGGAGACGAGCGGCGCCCGGCAGAGTGGCAGCTGCCGACACTCAGTGCTGGTGTAAAAACGCCGTCCGGTAGCGGCGGCTCTGAGCGGCCTCTGTCTCAGTAAGACTCGCTTACTAGTCGCGGAGTGGACTACGCCCGCCCAGGTGTGTAAAGGAAAACGGTTCTGTGTTGTGGTTATAACACACAGAGTTGAAACAAAGGCAGCGTCGAGGGCGCGATAGTGGACACTGAGGCTCGGAAATGACCGTTCACAGCTACTGAGAACAGGAAGCAATCTGCGTCTGTTTTCAATTACCGGCACAACACCAGATACCAGTATCAGGCGCAAATACACAGAGCAGCCTCACCACGCGGCTATCAGCTATCAAAGCACTGCGACTGCATTCCTGTAACGTTCCAAATGGATCCTGACTGACGCTCTGGGACAGCGAGGCCAAATACACTCAACTAAACATCGATCGATTCAACCACGTGTTTCCCACCACCGAGCAGATAGCACAGATTTATGTCACGATCTGTGATCTCTAAGGATGCCTGAATGTGAGATACGCCCACAGGGTACTATACTCCGTTAGTTAATTGGGGTTTATGGGCGCGTCGTGCTATGTGGGCAGTGCCTGTAGAAGCGTAGCTCCCTCAGCCAGCGGCAACGACATGAGCAGAAAGTATCCTCGGCCACGGCCAAAGCTAGCCAGCCCAGTCCTACTCGGAAGCCGCTGGCCTGCGTTCGGCACCGAAGCTCTCTCGGTGTCCGTCAGACTGCTGACGAGGCACTGTCAAATACGAGCGGTTCTGGTGGCTGGCCGCAGCGGCGTGCGGCGGTGACCGCGCCAACTGGGTCGGCAGCCGTCGAGGCGGACGGCGGGAGGGAGGAGCCGGTCCAAAACTAACCCCTCTCCTCTCCTTCGACAAGCGATCAACCAGCGTTCACTGCATACGTCTGCAATATTGTGCATGCCTAGCATAGGCGACGGAACGGGGAGGGCACCGGGGCACTGTGCCCCCTTTGATTTTGGCATTTTAACATTAGCCCTATGGGCGTTGCATGGAAAGAATGGGACCAAAAGTCGGCAGTGCCCCCCCCCCCCCCCCCCTTGATTGAAGGTGTTCCGCCGCTACTGATGCCTAGTAGAGATATGAGCCAGCAACTGACTCCCTCACCTTATCGAATCAACCGCCACGTTCTTTACCTTATATGTTCATTTATTTCAGCTTGAAAGCGCCATTTAATCGCACATAGCTTGGACTAAATTTAGCCATCCTACAAATCATATCATCTGTCAAATTGCCAGCCGCCAACAGTCCAAAGTTTCCCCAGTCCCGGTGGGCCGGCGGTAGCCAACTGCCGGCCAGTTCCGCCATTCATTCTCAGTCACCTCCAGCACCCGTCAGGCCCCGCCACCGCCGGCTCCGGTACCGAGCGAGGCCATCCGTCATCGCCCTGGATCCGTCACCGCGCGCCTGCAGGCCGCCGTCCGGTGCGCTCGATTCGGTCGATCCACGTGCGTTACAGCTGACTGCCCAATGTCACCAGTCTGTACCGGCGCGGACCAGAGAGGCCGAACAAAGACGTCTGGCGGGCGCGGGGGCGGTACACCGTGCGCCAGCTGCCAGGCTCTCGGACGGACCTCTCGCTCGGTCAACAGGCGTGTTTATCCGGCAAACAGTGCCCCGGGACGCCGGGCACGGCAGAGTGGCCGGGGGAGCACGACCGAGGGTCGAGAGCGCATCCGGGGCAGATGGCGACCCGGGTACGTGTTCAGGGCAAACGACTGTTTCCGTCAGTCCATCTGTCTGATGACACACCGAACAAGAACTCATTCCATCTCCGTCTCTATCCACATGGCGACGGTAACGTTACCTGGGGCGACAGAGCGGTACGGTCGCCATTCTCAGCACACAGTGGGTCGGCTGGGAACGATTGTCCGGCGTCCCGGCCGCCTGCAGCGGCTCGGCTGGGGACCAGATAACGGTGTGGTGGCACGTCCTGCCGGCCAGAGCTGCACGAACCGGCCCGGCCCGGCCCACAGCGCAGCTCAGGCCGGCGCACTCAACCCGGCAGTTCAGCCCGGCGCACCCAACCCGGCAGCTGCAGCTGGCGCGGCTAAAATCGGCAGCTCGAACCTGAGACAGTCGGCAATACATTGCATGGGAGACAAGCGCCTGTTATGGGAGACAGACAGGCGCTTCCGCAGCCAGCAGCTCAGCCGCCCACTGAGACCAACTGCTGCTGAGTGCTGAGACGCCAGCTGCTAAGACGTTGAGACGCCCAGCCGTCGAGACGCTCGGACGCTAACCCGTCCGTTGGCTACCGCTGAGCGCGTTGACCCGTTACATGACCCGGTGCCCCAGCCTACCTCGGTCCACATATCTCGGAACCCGTCTCACGCCGCCGCCAGTCCGCCGGGCATATGAAATCAAACGCTCGATCGGCCGGTCTATTTTAGAGCCGGTGCTGCAGGCCGGGTCCATGTGAATGGGAATGGGAGCTGCTGGGCCGGCTGTTGCTACGTGAGATCAGTGCATTGTCGTTCGACTCGCATGGAATGCTGCGATATTATATTGCGCAGAGATATTCAAATAGCGTTCAGAGGCGTTCGGAAGTTCAAACGGGCCGGATTGCATGCCTCCTAGCCGAACTTGCTTGCATTAGCAGCCAGGGACTTCCCAGTGTCCATATGTCAGATCCTGACTTTGATGAGCATGTCAAGCAAGAAGAAAGTAAAATTTTCAGCTCCGACTCACGTCCAACTTAAAGTGACCACAGGGCATTTGAGCATCTCCGCGCCGTTTCGGATTCACAATTCTCGGTCTGAGCCATCAGCCTCCATTGCTGTGCTTTCCAGCCACGTGCCTGATTCCTCTCTCTCGGCTCTTCCCATCGTCTAATCTGAGCTCGCCCTCTGCTAGTTTCGCTCCGGCTCGCCCTCTCCCATCTCACCAGCCCCTCTCCCTTCCATTCAGTATGCCACATACCGCCAGTGTGTGCCGCCCGGCTCGGCCTCGCGCGTCGCGGAGCGGAGCGGCAGACACGGACAAAAGATGCGGGCACGATCCATCATGGGCAGCGTCCCCTGCGCTGCGCCGGGCCGTCAGCTGGTCTCTCGCAGCGCCCCAAACTGGCGAGCCGGGCCGTTCTCCACAACATCGGGCCATGGCGCAGCTGTCACCGCCCTGAGCCAGTCTCAACAACCGAACAACAGTCAGAACGGCGCGTCCCATCGATTCTGACCAATCGACGTGCGCCACACATAAATGAACGATGAATGCGTAAGTTACCGATGGAATTAGACCACTTCACTGGCAGCGTCATGCATGTTTCACATGAAAATGGCTAAACCCTGCGAGGGTTTCGTAATGCAATCGTCGTCCATGGCACCATATAAGGTCACAGAGGCGCACATGTCCTGGAAGCACCGAGCGGCGTAGAAGGCAATGACGCGTATATTGGGCTATGCTATATTTAAGCTTCAGCGAACACCGCCGATACTGTCTGATTTCATCGCACGCCTCCGTAGTCCGTACAATTTCGTGGAAGACGATAATTAGAAGTGAGATGGGTAATTGCTTCAGGCCTGGGATGCTGGCACCTTCAGAAATGGAAATGTTAGAAGTTGCTATAAAGCAATTAAAGTGGTTCGCTTATCAAATGTCTGCATTGCGCTTTTTAGACTAAAAGGTTACATGGGCTCTACGTTGCCCGATCTGAACCAAAAAAGCGTCGCAGAACGCGTCGCAATCAAAATACGCCAATGGTCATTGGTCATATCCCTTCCCGAGTTTATTCCCGAAATGACGCTGGATCTCAATGATAGCTTGAGGGATCGCAGGACGCACGAAAGGTCAACGTTACTCCGCTTAGGCTGGATTTCACAGCTTCTGTCCTTCACACCCAAAGCTAACGCCAGTTAGAAGCATACGTTGGCAAGACGGAGTTTTAACTTCCATGGCTGACGGCAGTTTGAGGCTTGAGCCTGGCCTCGCCACAGACTCACAGCAGACACCCAGACGCCGGCCGGCCGACCCAGCCCGCCGGGTCCGTCCTCACAAACCCAGCCGAGCCGTGGTACGCTGACGACCGGTCCAGCCCGGTTCGACAGACCGACCGTCAGCTGACGACAGCTCTCCGCTCAGCGCGCGGGAACGGGACAAAGGCACAGAGCCAGTGCCGCCCGCCCGTCCGGCCGGCACGTGATCGACACGTGACTGAAATGGGCCGCAGGCGTGTCACGCGCGGCACGAGCTCGTTTGGTCATCTCGTGGGAGGAGGTGGGTCCGAGCGTGAGGCACTGAAGGCTGGAGCTCCATCGGTTTGTTATAGGCAGAGGTGATCATGACCGGAGCGTCGCCTTCAGTGTTCAAACGCCTAGTCAAGAGCCCCAAAGCTTCAAAAGAGTGAAGTCTTTGTAATTCAGTTTTCAGTAATGCACTGGTTAAATCACTTCACGGCAGCCAGCCGCCCAAGCCGGCTCGCTACGAAAGCAGTCCGTTT